AAAGACTTTCTTTGGGGGAAGAGGGCGAGACGCAGAACTGGGGGTTGGTACAAAAAGAGGCGAAGCGAGTGGGCGGGCGAAAAAAAAGGGTGGGTGGACTAAAGACGACTTGTCGAGAGCGAAAGGGCAAAGGAGGAGAGGGTACCGAGAGAAGGAGAGGCGAGTGGCGCGCAGGCAGAACGAGGCCGTCGCCGAGGGGGAAAGGGAAGAGGGAGGAAGGACGCGGTCGACGACGGGGCGTCTACTGCATCTGGCCCTGTAGAGAGGAGCAGGTGTCAGAGAGTTGCGCGCGCGACACGAGCGAGAGGGAGGAGGGGACGCACGAAGGAGAAGCCGCCCGTCGGCGCCTGGACGCCGCTGACGGCGAACGCGCCCGACTCGTCGACCTCGACGCCCTCGATGCCGGCCTCGTCGCCCTCGTCGGGGAAGAAGGTGTCCATGATGGAGAACGACTTGCGGTAGATCTCTGCGAGGGCGCGAGGGCGGGCGAGGGGGGGCAAGGGAGAGGTCAGCTTTGGACTCGGTTGGACAGCGCTGCGTCGTGCGCTCGACGTGCGCGGTCAAGGGAGGAGGGAGGTGAGAGAGGGGGGAGACGCACCGAGGTTCTCGTGGTGCTGGAGGTTGTGGATGGCGAGCATGCCGCCGGCCTCCTCGACAAAGAGGGCGTACTGGTTGACGCCGTTGTTGTGCTCCTTGTCGGCCTCGCCGACCTTGAGGATGTTCTCGAGGCCGTCGAGCGCGACCTGGATGATCTTGTTGTCGGTCGACTGCAGGAGGTCGCACAGGGGCTTGATGCAGCCCTGCGACACGAGGTACCGGATCTGGCTCGGCTCCTGGAGGCCGCCCGAGGTCGCGTTCGACAGGGCCCAGCACGCCTCCTTCTTGGTCTTGAAGTCGGCGTTCTGGAGAATGTTGAGCAGGGGCGGGATGATGTTGGCGTCGATGACTGCGAGGGCGGCGAGGGCATCAGTGAGGCTGTTCGAGAGAGAGACACAGGGAGCGCGACAAAAGAGAGAAAGAGAGCGAGGACGCACCGGCCTGGATCTGCTGCGGGCTGCCGGCCGTGATGTTGGACACGGTCCAGCACGCCTCCTTGCGGATGCCCTCCTTGGGCGACGACAGGAGGGCGAGGAGGGCCGGGAGCGCGCCCGATGCGAGGACGACCTGGGTCTGGAGGTCGTCGCCCGTGACAATGTTGCCGACGCTGCGCAGGGCGGGCGTCTGGACGGCCGTCGAGTGGTGCATGAGGAGGTCGACGAGGCGGCGCACGACGCCCGACTCGATGACGGCCTGGATCTTGTCCGACGAGCCGTCCGACAGGTACGAGATGGCCCAGCACGCGTCGATCAGGACCTCGTCGTCGAGCGAGTAGATGAGCTTGGTGAGGACCGACAGGGCGGGCGAGATGAGCTCCCAGCTCGGCTGCGGGTTCTTGCCGCGGCAAAAGTTGGACAGGGTCCACGTCGCGTTGCGCAGCATCGACATCTTGTGCGGCTCGTTGAGGAGGGCGAGGAGCGGGCGCAGGGCTTGCTGCTCGAGGACGTAGTCGCGGCACTTGGGCGAGTCGCCGGCAATGTTGCCGAGGCCCCACACGGCCTGCTCGCGCACGTCGAGGACCGGCGACGACAGGAGCTCGATGAAGACGGGGACCGCGCCCGACTCGATGACGACCTGCGTGTGCTCGGACGTGCCCGAGGCGATGTTGGTGAGGGCCCACGCCGCCTCGAACTTCGAGAGGGGGAGCACGACGGCGTCAGTCGACGATCCTGTGACGGTGCGCACGCGCAGGAGAGAGAGGGACGGTAGGGGGCGCACCTGGATCATAGAGTGGCTGCTGCGGAGGAACTCGACAAAGCGCGCGACGACGCCGCACTCGATGACCTTCTCGATGGGCGGGTTGCGCTCCTTGGACAAGAGCTTGCGGAACTTCATCGTCGCGTCGAGCTGCTGGTCGGGCTGGTCCGAGAAGACGCCCTGGATCATGGCCGGAAGCTGGTCGAGGAACTGTGAGGGTGCGCGGCAAGGCGAGTCAGTGAGGCGGTCCTCGAGGTGCACGCTCGCTCGCGAGAGGTGAGGGGGGGACGCACCGACGAATCGGGACCCTCCTCATCATCCGAGTCGGGCCCGCTCGAGGCGTTGAGGTTGCGGCGCTTGGCGATCGTCTCCTCGCGCTTCTGCTTGCGGATCTCGACCTGGGCCTCCTCGCGGCGCCTGCGGAGCTCTGCGGACGGGGGGCGAGGGCGAGTCAGTTACTGGTTGCGAGTGCGAGGCTGTGGTGCTGAGGAGCCTATCGCGCGCCGTACGAGGCCCGCGAGAGGCGACGTGGGTCGCGCGAGAGGCGAGGCGAGGCGGGGAGGGGGAGGGGGAGGAGGGGGAGGGGGAGAGAGGTGGACCAGAGGGCTCGCTCACCTTCCGTGCCAAAGATGCCCTTGTTCTTGAACTGAGCGCGACGCGAACTGTCGACAGGGGTGCAAGACGGACCGGTCAGCGGTGTTGTGGGTGTGGGAAAACAGCGGCGCATGTTGAGGGAGCGCGAGGGGGGCCAGGGGAAGGGGGGGTGGCGTGGCGGGACGAGGAGGGGGTGGGAGGGGGAGCGGGACGCACGCCTGTTGCCTTTCCATGGTTGCGAGGAGGTAGAGAGCGGCTGGACGAGTACAGCGGGTGCAGGGAGGGGACTGTGGGTGCGACGGCGATGAGAGCGCGAGTGGCAGACGAGCCAGCTCGGCCTCGTCCTCCTCCCTCTCCCTCTCTCTTTCACCATCAGCTCGCTCGCTTTTCCTCCTCACGGCTTCGTCGCCCGTCACCGCTCGAGCACCCCTCACCGCACGGCACCGCGCTCCAGGTCCGTCCTCCTCCTCCTCCTCTCCGCCCCTCCTCGCGCCTGCATTTCTTCCGCGACCTCGAACTGACCCTCCCTTCCCCTCCTGCAGCCTCGAGCGCGACCGAGCACCTGCCCCACCCAATCCTGCTGCGACTCTCGCTTCTGTCTCCCCTTCCTCGACCGCTCGCGAGCTTTTCGCACCCCCTGCCCTCTTCCGCACTCGCACCCGCACACCCGCACACACACACCCACTCTTTGGCCGGCCCACCAAGGATGACATTGCCTCATCAATACTTTAACTAGAGTCAAGCGCGGACGCGGCCCTGATCCCCAAGTGGGTAGGGGCCGCAGAGATTGACAAGTAAGGCGCGGCTGAGGGCCCGAGCCAAAAGAGCGTGTGTGTGTGTGTGTGCGCGCGTGTGTGTGTCGTGCGGCGCGGTGTGCGGTGTTGGGGCTCGCTGCGGCGGTGCACGTGCTGCCGTCGGGCTCTTTTTTCTCGCTGTCGCTGGCTGCCCGAGTCTCGTTTGCAACGTCGTCGTTCCTCTCCCCTTCTCAGTCGTCCGCGCCCGATCGAGAGCCGAGAGCAGGTCTCGCGCCTGGCCGAGCCGCACGGTCCATCGAGCGAGCGAGCGTCGCAGCGAGCCCAGCGACTGACGGCGGGGGCTTGAGCCGGCGAGAACTGCTCCTCGGCCACCTAACCCGTTCACGCCCCGCCGTCCCGCCCATCGGCGCCGCCGCGCACGCACGCACGCCAGCTGTACGTCGACCGCAGCTCAGCAACGAGCGTCGGCGCATCGAGGTGCCCGCACGCCGATCCAGAGAGAGAGAGCGAGAGAGCCAGCGCGGCCGACCGCAGCGGGCCGTGCGCCTCGTCGCGCTGCAGCGAGCGCCCCTCCCCCTCGCGCAGCGAGCGAGAGACCCGGCGACGAGAGGCAGAGCGCATCGTCCAGCGGCGAGCCTCGAGCGCAGCGTGAGAGTGCGGCAGAGCGGCGCGAGGGCGCGAGAAGGGCGTGCGAGCGGGCTCGCAAGTTGGGCGCGCGAGGAGGGTCGCCGAGAGGCTGACGGGAGGGGGCGCCGAGCGGGGCGCACGGTGGGCCAGAGAGGCGCAAAGCAGAGTGTGTGCCTCGGGCGGAGCAGAGCGGGCGCAGAGAGTGTCGTGGAGGAAAGAGAGCGCGGCGGGAAGAGGGCCCCGCTCGCGCCAGCCGACGCGAAGAGCGAGGGTCGAGCACGTCGGCAGAGTCGAGCGGGGCGCAAGAGCGCGGTCGCCGTGAAGCAGAGAAGGAGCCTCAAGGCGCAGCAAAGCGTCGAGCGAGAGCGCCCTCCCTTCCTCCTCGCGCGCACCTCCTCGCCTCGTTCTCCTCGCCCTTGCAGCCTCTCGCGCGCCGTCGCGCAGACACACCGAGTCGAAACCACTTGATTTTCCGTGCCGCACCGCCCGGGTCCACCTCCCGTCCGGGTGCGCCGCCGCCGCGAGACCGTCTAGACGCCGAGAGCGAGCGCGAGAGCGCGAGTGGGCGCTCAGTGCGCCGTCGTGGCGGCCGGGGCGCGCGGCATCGGGTTCTTCGGGCTGTCACGCCACTCAGGAACCGTGGTCATATAAAAGAAGGGGTCAGGGGCGGATCCTGGACGAGGAGGACGAGGGAAGTAGGAGGAGAGGAGGGGGGGAAGAGGCTCACCCTCGAGCATGGCGCTCTGCATCTTGGCGACACCGTAGAAGGTGAGGGCACCGCCGGCCATGAAGGGCCACCTGCGCGCGGGACGACGGGCGAACCGGGTCAGCTCGCGCCGAGGAAGGAGACGAGGAGAGAGGGAGGGGGGTTGGACGCACATGGGGCGGAGGAAGGGAGTGGGCCAAGCGCGCATGCCAAACACTGCGGGCGTGCCAGGTAGTCAGTGCGTGGCCGGAGCGGGTTGACGAGGGCGAGGGGCCGGGGGAGATGGGAGGACGAGAGGAGGGGGGTCGCACTGGTCGAAGGCTGCGCAGGAGGGCGGGGCGGGTTGCGCGGGTCAGTTGATGGGCTCTGGGTGGAGTGGTAGAGTGCAGGGAGGTGCTCACTGTGCTTGTAGGTGAGCGAGGGTGGAGGGAGAGCGGGTTGGCGAGACCTCGCCCCGAGGTCTGGCGCTGGCAGCTTCCCCTCGAGTCGCAGCGAGCTGACGACGACTCGACCTCGCCTCTGTCTCCCCACCCGCTCGTGCCGCTCGCCAGCTCCAGCTCCACCATGGACCCGCAGCCGCCCAACCAGCCCCCGCAACAGCCCGCCACCCCGCCCAAGCCCGCCCAAGACCAGGCCGCGTCCTCGTCGTCGTCGTCCACCACCGACGATGCCACCATGGCCGACTCGCAGCCTCAACCGCCCCAGGAGGACCCGCTCCCGGATGAGATCCTCAACGCCTCGGCAGACGACATTGTCGCCCGCACCCGCCTCATCGACAACGACCTCAAGGTGAGCGCCTTCCTCTCCCCTCCGTCATCCCCCCCCCAGCTCACCTCACCCTTTGCGACGGACCAGGTCATGCGCAGCGAGACGATGCGCTTGAACCACGAGCGCAGCAAGATGCGCGAGCAGATCAAGGACAACACGGACAAGATCAAGAACAACAAGATGCTCCCGTACCTCGTCGGCAACGTCGTCGAGGTGCGCCCCCACTGCCTCTCGCTCTTCTTGCCTGTGCCGGTCCCTCCCCTCACAGCCAGCTGACACCTGCACCGCACCGGGCAGATCCTCGACATCGACCCGGACGCGGACGAGGCGGGCGAGGGCGCCAACGTCGACCTCGACGCGCAGCGCAAGGGCAAGTGCGCCGTCATCAAGACGTCGACGCGCCAGACCATCTTCCTCCCGCTCGTCGGCCTCGTCGACCCGGCAACCCTGCGCCCCAAGGACCTGATCGGCGTCAACAAGGACTCGTACCTCGTCCTCGACACGCTCCCCGCCGAGTACGACTCGCGGGTCAAGGCGATGGAGGTCGACGAGAAGCCGACAGAGTCGTACAACGACATTGGCGGCCTCGACAAGCAGATCGAGGAGCTCGTCGAGGCCATCGTCATGCCCATGCAGCAGCCGAGCGCTTCAAGGCCCTCGGCATCAAGGCGCCAAAGGGCTGCCTCATGTACGGCCGCCAGTCCGTCCCTCGCTCTCCCCCTCGTCCCTCGTCTGCGTCCCTGTGGAACCTTTCACTGACGCCTCGCGTCCCTTGCAGGAACGGGCAAGACGCTGCTCGCCCGTGCGTGTGCCGCCCAGACCGACGCCTGCTACCTCAAGCTCGCCGCCCCGTCCCTCGTCCAGGTGCGCCCCCTCCTCCTCTCGTCCTGCACGACTCCTCTCTCGAAGCACCTGACACTGACCCGCTCACGCTCTCCCCGCAGATGTTCATCGGCGACGGCGCCAAGCTCGTGCGCGACGCGTTCGAGCTCGCCAAGCAGCACCCGGCGGCCATCATCTTTATCGACGAGCTCGACGCGATCGGGACCAAGCGGTTCGACAGCGACAAGTCGGGCGACCGCGAGGTGCAGCGCACCATGCTCGAGCTCCTGAACCAGCTCGACGGGTTCGGGTCCGACGACCGCATCAAGGTGATTGCCGCCACGAACCGCATCGACGTCCTCGACCCGGCCCTGCTGCGCTCGGGTCGCCTCGACCGCAAGATCGAGTTCCCGCTACCGAACGAGGACGCGCGCGCAAAGATCATGGAGTGCGTCCCCTCCCTGGTCCCGCTTCCCCGTCGAGACCCCGTCCCTGACCTCGCCCCCTCCCTCGCTCTCTCTCTCTCGCCCGCCCGCGCTTTCAGGATCCACTCGCGCAAGATGAAGGTCAGCAAGAAGGTCAACTACGAGGAGCTCGCGCGCTCGACCGACGAGTTCAACGGCGCCCAGCTCAAGGTGCGTCCTCCTCACCCCCTTCTCGAGCCTGCTCTCGATGGAGGACCTCGTCCTGACACGTGCGGCCTCTCTCCCTGTGTGGCGCAGGCGGTGTGTGTCGAGGCGGGCATGATTGCGCTGCGCGAGGGCTTTACCGAGATCAACCACGAGCACTACCTGTCGGGCATCCTGTGCGTCCATCTCTCTCTTCCTCCCTTTCGTCGGCGGCTACTGACCCTCGTCCCGCCCCACAGCGAGGTCCAGTCCAAGAAGAAGAACGACCACGTGCGTCCCTCCCGCCCCTCTCCCCCTCCCCTTCCTTCCTCCACGTCGCTGACCCCGTTCCACCCCTATCGCAGTTCTACTTTGCCTGAGCACCCTCTCGTCGACAGTCGCCTCTCCGCCCCGCTGCCACCGAAGCAGCAAACCCCTCCCACCTCGCCTCGCCTCGCTTCGCATCCCCCGTCGTTCCTCGCCCGCTCGCTCGCACCCCTCCCTCCTCCCCTCTGCTCGCGCGAGCGGGCGCCCGCCGTCCCGTGCCTACCCCTACCTGTCCCCTCGAGGGCCACCGTGTTGCAATTGTATCGCGCCGTACCTACGAACCCTTGGTCGCTCGCTCGAGTGCTGGACCGGGTTCGGTCGTTCGAGAGGCGGCCGCGAGAGCGCAAAGAACGAGGGGCGAGGGACGAGGGCTGGCGCTTCGCGCAGGGGAGCTGGACTGGGCGCTCGTGCTACGCAGAAGGTGCCGGCGAGCTCGACAGGCGGCTGAGCGGCGGGTCGGCGTTCGCTCTTTCGAGAATGTGGGGCCAAGACGCGTCTGTATGTACATAGATGCAAACTTGAGCGGGACGTCCACTAGAGGCGAGATAGTATAATGGCTAGTACACTCGGTTCTGACTTACTCTGCTTCCGAGCAATCTGGGTTCGATCCCCAGTCACGCCTTCTTTTTTCGCCTCCCGCCAATACGAACCCGTCCCCCCTTGAAGCTTGACCGTCTGCTCCTTTTGCTGGCTCTGCTGGCCCGTCTCTCGCGGCCGTGCAGTTCTCCCGAGAGTCACTCGCTGCGGCGCTCGAACCCTCCCTTGGCTGCTCCGGCTCGACGCTTTCCCGCGCACGAGCGAGCCTCTCGCACGGACCTCGTCTGTCCGGCCCGTCTGCCGCCGCATGCACGTTCGCTCTCCTCTCTCTCTCGGGACCTCCGTGGTCGGAGCGTGGTCGGCAGTGGGTCCTTGCAGACCGGTGGCCGGCTCGGGCTTGCTCTCTCGCGCTCTCTGGCTCCAACCTCCTCTCAGCTTGCCCGTGCTCGCCTGCTCAGATGGCTCCCTCTCATGACTTTGTGGTCGAGTACGAGTACGCGGTCATTGCCGTAGAGAGAGCTGCCCGTGCCTCGCACCACGCCGAGCAGGAGGAGTGGGAAGACAACGTCGTCGAGCTCCTCATCGGCCGCGAATTTTGGGACATGTTCTCGGAGCCCGTTCGCCTGGCGTTCATCAAGGACATGGCCAAGGTGGAGGAGAAGCGTGTTCTGGTCCGTCTCCTCTCGCGATCCGTCAGCACCGTCGGCGCGCACTGACCGCCCCGCTCCCTGTTCAACAGCCGCTCGTCAACGAGGGCATGCGCGAGCTGACGTTTAGGCTCAGCCGCATCTCTTCCACCCTCGACCACATGCGCAAGGTGCGTCCACGTGCCCTTGGAGTGCAGGCTCTGCAGCGCTGACACGCTGTCCTCGTCCGCAGTCGTTCAATCGCGTCCAGTACTTCGTCAACGGGATCGCTCGTCGCCCTCCTCGCGGCGCCGGCGCCCTCTGGAGCGCCAGGGTCCACCTGTGGTTCAAGGAGGGCGTGCTCGACCGCATCAGCGCGCAACAGTTTGACGCGCACAACGACCTCGAGCGGGCCGCGGTCGTCGAAGAGTTCGACGTCGTCGCGCACCACCTGGGCGACGGCCGTCTGCGCCACCTTGTGCGTCGACGTTCTCCCTCTCCACTCGGCGCGGCGACCGTCCTGACCCTCGCCGCCGTGCGCAGCCGCCCCTGCACGAGGACGAGGAGGACGATCACGACGACATGTTCTCGCAGCTCAAGGCCATGCTCTTCCGGCACAAGTACCGTCTCGAGCAGGAGCACAGTCTCTCTCGTCGAGGAGACGCAGGTCTGCAGCTCACTGCGCGGCAGCGCGCGGTATACGAGCGGCGTTGGTAGAGGATTCGGTGCTCGTTGTCGTCGTCCCGCACCTTGTGTAGCGCCATCCTGCAACCGCCTGCTTCTCTAGAGCGTCCTCTGAGAGTGCACGCGTCGACGAGGCTCGCTCTCAGCTGAGGAAGGGCCGAGCACGAGCAAAGCTCGGCAACCTTCCCAACTTGACGTCTTTGCTCGTGATTGACCTCCTTGGCCTCGTCAGCGCGCGTTAGCGAGCCAGAACTGTGCGTGTCTCTCAGCTCGACGCTGTGACCGTCATACGAGAGAAGCAGCGACAATATTGCGAGCGAGGCAGCGGACGAGGCGCGGACTCTGCCCTCGACCGCACCTTCGAGCATGGCGTCGTCCGGCCCCTGCGGCTTGAGTTGTCGTGCGCGCGCAGCTCTCTGTGATCCCTGCTCGAGCGCGCAAGGCCCGTAGCTGCTCTCAAGGCAAGGCGAGAGGGAGTCATTGCCGCGCTCCCAAAGCGAGAAGGGCGTCGACCAAGGGCAGGAGGGAGAGCAAGACGCAGCCCGCCCGCTCGAACCTGTTCCCTCTTTGTCCGCCCTGTCTCGATCGCTCCGCGACGAGCCAACCCGGCGCTGCTCAAACGGCTAGCTGCCGCTTTATCGCGAGCGGCGGCTCTCCACTTGGGAAGGCCCGCTCGGACCGCTCTCTCGCGTTGCCTGTCCTCTCTCAGCTCTCTTGCTCGCGATCTTGCCTCAAATCAGCCCCGAGAAGCTCGGACAAGCGCGGTTTTGTTCAAAAGTGAGGGACGAGCGACCGAATCGGACGCAGGGTTCGACGAGGCGGAGGAGGTGGGGGGCACGAGGAGCAGATGGTCGGGCTTCCTCCCCGGGTTCCTGGTCCCTCGCAGCGGGCTGAACCGCATTCTGTCAAGGTGTAGCCGGAGAAGGACGACGGAGAAGGACGACAAGGGCTTGCAAAGTCAGCGTGACGATCTGTATGCGCAAATTGGCACTGCACATCACAAGCAGCTCGGTTGATCTAGTTGGTTATGATGTGGACCTAATACCTCTTGCGTAACAAGTCCAATGTCGGCGGTTCGATCCCGCCACTGAGCAGCAGCATCGCACACTTCGCGATTCTTACCTTTTGCCGAGCGAGGTGGACACAAATGATCGCGGCCACCCTCGCTGTCTTTTGGCAGCTTGCGGTAGCCTCGGTCATTGCTGCTACCCTCTCTTTTGTGGGACTAGGGCCAGCAAAGGCTCACCCTGAGCCATGAGCGAGAACCGGCCACAAACAGGTCGACCTTCCCAAGTTGCCTCGAGGGCTCTCTGCTTGCTTTGCGCACGCCGCTTGTTGTAAAAGCACAGGAGCACCACACAGGCACGTGTGCCGCATCCCCTGCAATCCTTGGGCGCCGAAACGAAACGGGACGCTTGCCCTGCAACCCGTGCGGCCGTGCGGGCCGCGCTCGAGCCTCTCCCGGGCAGCGTGGCTCTTCTCGCACCGCTTTCGCCGCAGGCGGGTCCTGCCTCGCTCCGGCTGTGCTTCTTCTACTGCCGCGGGATTCTGGTGAGAGGCCTATGCTGCACAAACGGAGGCTTGAGCCAGACGGACTGCAGCGCGTTGCAGTGTGACCTCGGACGCTCCATTCAAGCACGCCCTGCTGCCCACGGCGGTCTCATGCTGCCGCGCACTGTCGAGCACACACTGCTGTCACACGCGGCGAGCAAAAAGCAAGCGCTGCCCAGGAGCGGCGGCAAAAAAGAGAAGCTCTTCGACCGGGAATTGAACCCGGGTCTCTGCCGCGTTGATCTCAATGAGATTGACAAGGCAATATACTAGCCACTATACTATCGAAGATCCGATAGAGGACTTCGCACAAGTTAACAAACATATGGCGCCGGCGCAACATCATCAAAGTCGAGCTTCGCCAGGACGACCGACGCGGTTGCGCGCTCAAATGGTCTCTGCTCTCGATTCTTCAGGCAGCCGAACACACACAAAGAGTGAGAAGCTCGATAACCGCCGACGACCTCCAGTTCGCGCTGCTCTCGCACCAGCACTCAAGCTCGCTTCTCTCGCTCTCTCAAGTTCTCGAGGGCAACAACAGGATCGGACGAGGGACAAAGAGCTGCGAGTGTGTGTGTGTCTTTGCAAGGACGGGGCTACTCGAGCGTCGCGGCGGCGTCGGCCTGCTTCCTGGTCGGCGCCTCCTCCGCCGCCTGCGCGAGGAAGTGGTCGTCCGGGAGCGCGAGCGCCGCCTCTGCCCGCGACACGAGGTCGAAGCCCTCGTCCTCCTCGGACGCCTCGAGGTCCTCGGCTTCTGCTGGCGTGCGCGCGCAAGGTGAGCTCTCGGGCGACTAGGGACGAGGGCGAGGAAGGACACAGAGAGAGAGAGGGAGAGACGCACCGTCGCCGTAGATGTCCGGGTGGCGGCGGAAGCACTCCTGCATGCCGCGGAACTTGTCGACGCAGTCGATGCCCTTGGGCTCGGCCTCGGAGTAGACAAAGCACGAGAAGGCCGCCTTGAACTCGTCGCCGCAGGGCCCGTCGGCCATGCCGCCGAGGCACGGGCAGTCCCAGTTGATCTCGCCCGTTTCCGGGTTAAACGCGTCCCAGTTGATCTCGCCCGTTTCCGGGTTAAACGCGGCTTGTTGAGACGACGGGTCGGCGGCGGATGCGGCACCAGGTGCGGCCGGCCGACTGCGCCTTGTCCTCGACCGTGTCCTTGGCCGCCTGCGCCTTGTCCGTGACGGCCTCCTTGGCCGCCTGCGCCTTGCCCTTGGCCGCCTGCGCCTTGCCCTCGACCGCCTTCTTGGCCGACGCCGCCTTGTCGGCCGCCGCCTCCTTTGCCGAGTGCGCCTTGTCGGTCACGGCGTCCTTTGCCGACTCGGCCTTGTCGACGACGACGTCCTTGACCGACTGAGCCTTGTCGACGATCGTCTCCTTTGCCGAGTGGGCCGTGTCCTTGACCGAGTGGGCGGCATCGCCGGCGAGAGCTGTTAGGGGCAAGGGGAGGGAGGCGAGGGGGGAGGCAAAGCGAGTCAGCGATGCTGCAAGAGCTTGACCTGCTCGAGGCCGGCGAAAGTGCTGCTCAGAGAGCCCCTGCATCGCCCCTGCTGTCCGGCACCCGAGCCGAGGGGATGACGAGGCGGCCTTCGAGCCGGCGAGGGGGAGATGAGGAGCGAGAGGGCAGTCGAACTCACCCTTGAGCTTCTCTGCGCGCTTGCCGTTGTTGCCGCCGACGGTGAGGATGGCCGCAGTCCAGCCTAGGAGGGCGGCGAGGCCCAACGAGGCGTACACGACCGGGTTGGTCGTCTGCGACTGGTAGACGGCGAAGCGGCGCTGGGTCGAGCCGGTCGAGACGTTACGCAGCTGGGCGGGCGGCGCCGGTCGCCGAGGGAGGGCACGCGGGAGAGTGCGGAGTGGTGCGCGGAGCATGGTGGTGGTGGTTGGTGGAGAGGCGGAGAGGGTCGACGCCGCCCGCCTTCCTCTGTCGCCGAGGGTCGGAGCGGACACCGCTGAGCTGAGCCGTCTCGACCATCTCGCACGCCCTGGGCCTCTCGACAAGTCACACGAGCACTGCACGATCATTGCAACGCCGCCCTCAGAACCGGAACTTCTCCTTGGACCCGCCGCCGCCCTCGCGCTGCTGCTTCTTGCCCTCGGCCATCTTGCGCCGCTTGGCCACCTCTGCCGCCGCAAAGTCGCTAAAGTCCTCGTGCGTGCCGCCCGCGCCCCGGCCGGCCCGGTTCGCCTGGTCGTACCGCGCGCGCAGGTCGGCCTCGCTCAGGCCCTCGAGGTCGGCCGCGTCGAGCGCCACCTCGACCCCGCCGGCCGCCTTGCGCTTGGTGCCGCGGTCCTCCTGCCCGAGCACCGGCGGCGCCGGCGCCGCACCCGCACCGGCTGCACCTCCTGCCCCGCCGCCGCCGCCGAGCGCCGACACGTCGTACACGCGGTCCGAGCCCATGAAGCCGCGCATGCGGCTCTCGCGCTCGGGCAAGACCTGGTACAGCTCCTTGGGCCCGCCGGCGTCCGACTCGGTCTCCTCGCGGCGTTTCCGCAGCTCGAGGAAGTCGGGCGTCTCGAGCCCGCCGGGCACGGTCGACGTGACGGACGCGAGGCCGGACGGCGTCTCGAGGCCCGAGGGCGTCTGCAGGCCGTCGGCGGGCGCCGCCTCGCCGTCGTCGTCCTCGTCCTCGTCGTCCGACTCGTCCTCCGACACTGTGTGCAAGTGTGGGTGTCAGTGAGTGTGCGGCTCGAGGGAAGGAGAGAGAGAGGTCGGCGGACGCACCCTCCTCTTCCGGCTCCAGCTCGCCCCACGGCTCCTTGACGATCGGCTCGCCCGCCTGCGCGCCCTCGCCCTCGGCAGCGACGCCGTAAATGTCGCCGTACAGCGGCCGGCCAAACTCGTCCAAGGGCGGCTTGCCCCAGCCACCAGGGTGGAAGCCCCATGCGGCGCTGCATTCGGGATTGTTCGAGGTCAGGGGCCTGCTTACGAGAGAGAGTGAGAGAGCGTGGACGGACCCTTCAGGAATGGGCGCGTTGAGGCCGGCGATGCGCAGGTTCGGGTAGCTCGGCGGCGGGCCGTAGCGCTGCATGCTGATGAGCCACGGCGGCGGCGCGAGTGGCGGGATCGACAGGGCCTCCTTGAGCTCGTCCGACAGGTCGCCAGGCCGCTTCTCCTTGAGCTTGGTCTCGTACTCCTTGCCCTCGTAGTAGCTGTACGGCGGCGGGTCGAGGGAACGGGTCAGGCTCGCCGCTCTCGAGGCCGACGGGGGAGAGAGAGGGAGAGGGGGCGACGCACACCTCGCCAAACTCGGTCATCTTGGGCTTGGTCTGGTACCGGAAGAAGGCGTCGTGGAGCTTCTGGTAGTCGATGTCGATCTTGCCCATCTTGGGCTGGACGCGCTCGCGCGTCTTCTGCTTGAGCGACTGCTGGTCCTCCTTCTCCTTGACGGCGTCGCGCTGCGTCGCGATGCCCGTGTCGGCGATGAAGCCTGCGTATCGGTGAAAGAGGGCGTCAGTGAGTGGGACGGGGCAGAGAGGGGGGAGCCGACGACGGCGAGAGGGACGCACTCGGGAGCTGATAGGGCGGCTTCTCGATGCCGCGCTTGCCGTTGAGGTAGGCGCTCTTCTGTTGCCAGTGCTGCGGGATCGGGACCGTGTTGCGGTGGCTCTTGATCTCGACGAGCAGGCGCGGGTCGTTAGCCGACACGTCGACCCAGTCGACGACCTCGGGCTTCTTGACGAGGCGCTTGAGCTCGGCGACGCTGAGCCGGTTCAGCTTGCGCTGCTTGCGCTTCGACATCTCGGCCGCGTCCTCTTCCTCCTCCTCGGACGGCAGCTCGTCGTCCGAGTAGATGACCTGGCCCTTGTCGTCGGCGCCGTCGGCAGCGCCGTTCTCGCCCTGTCGCGGCGGGAGAGAGTCAGCTTGGACTGGTCAGGCCGGGCGACGAGAGAGAGAGAGAGTGGTCGGGACGCACCGCAGCAGCTTGTCCCGGCAGCTGGAAGTGCGCAAAGACGTCGGCGAAGGCGGCCGGGATCGCGCCCGTGCCGTCCTCGAGCTTGACCTTGACGTCGTCCTCGGGCGCGCTCGGCTCCTGCACGGGTGCGCTCGAGACTTTCAGCTGATGCACTCGAGCCGACTGGGCGCCTCGACAGGGAGAGCTGGGAGAGGGAGGGGGGACGCACGACTGTGGGTGCTCGCTCGCGAGGGCGGTCGTCGACAGGTTGCTGCTGCTCTGCGGCCGCGTTGCCCTTGCCCTGGGCCTTCTTCTTGAGGCGCTTGAGCTGGCCTCGCGACTTGTTGCTCGTCGACACGGCGGGCGAGCTGCCGTTGACGGCGGGGGACGGCGAGTTGGTGGCCACCATGCTGCGGCTCTGCGGCTCTGGCGAAGGCTAGGGCTGCTTTCGTGGGTACTGTGGGAGCCTGGCGAGGGCCTGGTGCGCAGTCTGGCGAGCGAGCCCCGGTAGATGGGGGACCAACCTCCCCTCCCTTCCTCAGCTCCTCCCGGCTCGACCACCAAGCGATGAAGTCGCTCTCGCCTCGCCTGGCTCTCAGGAATCGCTCGATGCCGGCACAAAGGAACGAGAGAAGCAGCCGCAGCTGGTAGTACAACAGAGCGGGCGCGTGCGGATCTACTCGTCTCGTCCCCTCTCTGCTCGCTCCCTCCTCGCTCCTCGCCTCGCTCAGCCGGCCCGCTTGGCCGTGTTGACGAACCCAGTCCCGACGCAGCTCAGGACGTACTCCTCTGGCGGCGGCGCCTTGGCCACGCTCGCCATCTCGGCGTCCTCGTCCTCGTCCGCGCCCTCGGTCGCACCGCCCGCCGCCGCCGCCGTGCGCACCGCGTCCTTGATCTTGAAGGTCGTGCCGAAGAAAGCCTTGAGGTCGCGCAGGTGCTCGATCCTGTGTATAGGGGCGTGTGCGAGTCAGTGTCGGGCCTCGACGAGGCAAAGAGAAGGGAGGGGAGGGGACGGGGAGGGGGACGGGGACGGGAGGGGACGTACAAGAACGCCTCGAACGGCCCAGCAACGACAACGCGCCCGACGTCCTCGCCGCCGAGGACGAGCATGGTCGTGACGAGCCACTCCCAGCCGCGGTCGACGCACCCGCCGCGGCGTACCTCGTCGAGGAGGAGCCGCGCGGCGGCGATGCCGAGGTCTTCGGGGACGGGCGGGTGTGCGGGCTCGGCGGTGCCGCTGCTGGTGGAGGAGGAGGGAGGTGGAGGGCACGAGGTGGCCTCGGCCGAGTGGAGGACATGCGAGGTCGACGAGGCGAGGAGCGTGATGGCGTAGCCCGGCGACCTGCGCCGGACGAGATTCGTCAGGACTGCGCGCTCGTTCGCGGGAGAGGAACAGAGAGATCCTCGCGACGCACTTTCCACTGTCCTCGCCGCGGTACACGTCGGTGTAGATGTAGATGTCGGGGATGTATCGGTTGAGGACGGATCGTGCGGCGGCGACGAGGCGGTTGGCGAGCTGAGGCGAGACGCGGACCGAGTGGCTGCGCGACGTGGCGAGGGTCAATAGGGTGCCCTCCTGGACACGCGCCGAGAGGAGAGAAAGAGGGGACGCACGCGATGCCGCGGATCTTGGCTATCCGGCCGACCTGGGTGAAGTCGAACCCGCTCTTGATGGCCCTCACCGACGGGCAGGTGAACGTGATCTCGCCGCCGCCGAGAGGCGGGTGCCCGCGCTTGGTGATCTGCAGGCGGGAGCGAATTTGCGTGAGCTTGCTGCCGAGAGAGGGAGACAGAGAGGGAGAGGGAGGAGGACGCACGCGCAACTCGAGACCGTCCGTGTCGAGGAACATGGCGAGGTGCGGGAGCCCGCTCGTGCGGATCGTGTCGACACTCGCATCCCTCCCATCGGTCGTGACGCCCCGGAGCGTCAACGCGAGGTCCTTCTTGCCGAACGGCGCAATAGCGAGCAGCGGCTCGAGGAACCACCCGACGCCGCGGTCGTTCGGGCACTGGTGCGTCACCTGGCCGCCCTGGATCGTGCCCGGGTGGAACAAGAGCGCCGTGCCCGAGTACGAGATCTCGAGGCGCGAGCCCTGCGTGAGCTTCTCGACGAGGCGCAGGAACGACACCTCGTGCGGGCGCAGGCCGGGCTCGTCGTCGTCGGCGCGGATGCGGTCGATGCGCACGGGGCGGCGCGAGAGGAGCGACAGGACGAGGCGGTGGCGCAAGTGCGCGGCGCCGGTAAAGGCGAGCACGCGCGACGAGCGGGGAGCGGCGGCGGCGGCGGCGGCGGTGGTGGATGCTGATGGCGCTGCCGAGTCGGGTTTCGGGGCGGGCCTGTGGGCGGGACAGTCAGCACGCGCGTCACTGAGGGTGCTCGAGGTGGACGCACATGGCACAGGGGGCCGGCGGGCGAGTCGAGGTGCGAGGTGGAGCCGGACGACGGAGTGAGGAGGTGACCCAGCTCGAGTCGCTCTCACCAACTCGGTCACGTGACCCAGCTGTCGCTTTCCTTCGAGTGAGGCTGCGTGGGTCGGGGCATATAGGTCGTCTGTGCAACGCTCGAGCTAGGCACCGGCTATCAAGTCACGCCGAAGAGAAGGTGCCGCTGCGCGAGGGTCCGTTCGCGCTGCTCGCGCGCGCCCACGATCCGCCGCCGTCGTCCTCCCTGCCTACTACAAAGTGCGCTCGCCCGGTCCCATGCCGCAGCCTTCGAGCGACACAAGAGCTGTCGCGTGCTGCGAGGCAGCTCTGCGTCTCCTGCAGCAGCGGAAGGACCGCTCGGCGAGGGAGCAGCCCGCCGTCGCCCTTCCTGCTCGAGCTGAGGCGCTCAAGCCCCGCAAGCCCGAGAGCCGGCTAAGTGCAGCGCGCACGAGCTCGTGCGAGGTTCGAGCACGTTCAGCGAGAGCGAGCGAGCGACGACTCGCAGCTCGAGCGGCCGACCGCGGTACGTCTGGGTACGAGGGACGAGGCTGGCGCGGCCGGGCCGCGCTGCGACCAGGCTCGTGCCGCGGAGCGAGTAGAAGAGCAGGCTTGGACGCGCGAGTGGAGCAGAGAGATCCATAGCGAGCGCTGGACGGAGCGAAGAGCGTGCTCGCGCGCGACGGCTCGGCTCGTGAAGCGGCTCGCACGGCACCGATCCCTCGGCCTGAGCGACGGACCGCCCGAGCTGCAGCTTGTGTGAGCTGCAGCGGCGATGAGAGGCGCTGTGCGTGCGTCAAAGTGCGATTTGGAACGCCGGAGCGAGGTCGGCCACGGCGAAGGTGGGAGGGCGGTGGACACTGGCGGGGTTGGCCTCGTGGCGGCGAGCAGGACGTCTGAGTTGCGGAGCAGAGAGCCGTGCTTGAGAGAGCATGCTCTGCGCCTGAGCTGACGAGGCGAATGAGCGGTGCGAGGTCAAGGGAGACCGACGACGACGAGGAGGCGAAGGTCAGCTCCCTCTCTCGACCACTCGCAGCCAGTAGCTCCACACAGAGCTCTGCAGCCACCACACGCACACCGTTACACCAGACCAGCGCCACCCCAACGAGCAGCGCCGTCTCGCCTCCTCCCCGCTCCTCCTCCCTCCCATCTCCTCGCGCGTCGTCATCCTCACCAACCGCCGCCCAGCACCCGCGCCCGTACCCGCACCCGCAACCGCTACCCGTACCCCATGTCGACGACCGACGACGTCCTCGCCCTGTCGGCCAAGAGCTGCGTCGTGCACCCGCTCGTCCTCCTGTCGATCCAGGACCACTTTCACCGCGTCGCAAAGAACACGCGCAAGCGCGTCGTCGGCATCCTCCTCGGCCAAGACCTCGGCCCGAAAGGGTACAACGTCGCCAACTCGTTTGCCGGTGAGTCCGGCGGCCCGCCGCCCTCGAGTCGTTCTCTCTCCGGCACCCTCCTCCACCACTTTGTCGTCGCCGCCGCGATGGCGCGCAGCACAGCCGACCTGACATGCCCTCACGCCGCCCACAGTGCCGTTCGAGGAGGATGAGAAGGACCCGAGGACGTGGTTCCTCGACCACAACTACGTCGAGGCGATGAACGACATGTTCAAGAAGGTCAACGGTGCGCCCGCCTCTCTCTTCCAGGAGGGGACAGAAGACGCACAGCAAGGACGCAGCTGACCCGCCGCCCCTGCCCCCTGCAGCGCGCGAGAAGTTGATCGGGTGGTACCACACGGGCCCGCGGTTGCGAGCGTCCGACCTCGAGATCAACGAGGTCATGAAGCGGTTCACGCCCAAGCCCGTCATGGTCATTGTCGACGTGCGACCGGACGGCGAGCGCGCGGGCGGCGGGATCCCGACCGACGCCTACTTTGCCGTCGACGAGATCAAGGACGACGGGACCCAGTCGCAGCGCACGTTTGTCCACGTCCCGTCGTCGATCGAGGCCGAGGAGGCCGAGGAAATCGGGGTCGAGCACCTGTTGCGCGACATCAAGAACCTGTCGGTCGGGACCCTGTCGTCGCGCGTCGCGGGCCAGCTCTCGTCGCTGCGCGGGCTCGGGACCCGCCTCGGCGAGATCAAGGACTACCTCGAGCAGGTCGTCGCCGGCACGCTCCCGATCAACCACCAGATCGTGTACAACCTCCAGGACGTGTTCAACCTGCTGCCCAACCTCGAGGCGGCCGTCAGCGGCGGCGAGACGAGCGACGGCAGCAAGCGGCCGTTTACGGTCGCGACCAACGACCAGCTCCTCGTCATGTACCTCTCGTCGCTCATCCGCGCCGTCATTGCCCTGCACGACCTCGTGCGTCCCCGCTTTCCCTCTCTCTCCCTCGTCCCTCGACCCGTCCACTGACTCGAGGTCTCGACGCGCGCAGGTGCTGAACAAGCAGACGGCGGCACAAGCGGCATCGGGCGAGGACGAGGAGGAGGAGGAGGCGGCGGCTGCGGCCAAGAAGAAGGATGAGAAGAAGGCGGACGAGGGCGGGCCCGACGTCGACAAGAAGAAGGAGGGCGACGACGCCAAGAAGGTCAAGGAGTGGTTCTCGGGCGACGGCAGTGACGAGAAGGGGCACTGAGCCCTGGTTCCGCAATGCAACTCTGTCCGTGTGCGTGCTCTCTGTCCATGGTCAAAACGAGAGCAGCGTGTTTGAGAGGGACTTGGTCGGGAGAGGTGGCGCCCCTTTTCGTCGCTCTCGCTCCTGCCTCGCCTCCTCTCGCTCTCTCGATGAGATGAACTTCTCGCAGTTTGCCAGCAACCTGCTCCAGTCGACGAGCGGGGCAGCGCAGCCCGCCCCCTTGTTCTACTCGACCCGCACCGACTGGGTCGCTCCTCCCCCGACCTCGTCCTCATCAGCACCACCACGACGCGCCACCGCCGACTCGGACATCCTCGGCGCCTCAGACGACTCGCTCGACCACCACCGCACCCGCACCCGCTCCGACCGCCGCTTCTCGCTCGCGAGCGACGACGCGAGCGACGATGACGGCCCGCCGCCGCCGCCGACGACGACCCGCTCGTACGCGGCGCACGGCATGGCGAGCCACCTCCAGGCCATCCCGGCGTTCGTATCGCGGCTCGGTGGACGCGCACCGGCACGGCCCGGGCGAGGTTGGCGCGCGTACGAGTCGGTCGCGCCGGGAGCGTCGGGCAGCGGCGGTGGGGCGGCGAGTCGCGGTGGGGGGCCAGGCGGGCGACCAGGGGCCGTCTACTCGGACGGCGAGGACGACGAGACGGACGACGGGGACGACGATGAGCCGCTGCCCGGCGCGTTCGTGTCGCTGCCGCTCGGCGGTGGCGGAGGTGCCGCTCGCGAGCTGCCGCTGGCGCACGCGATGGACGAGCCGCTCGTCGGGCGCCGCACCCTGTTTGTCTACCCTGTACCCGGCCCAGGCGGCGGCGGCGCCAACGCGCACGAGGCGTACCGCGACACGGGCTGGGTCGTCGCATACGGCGTCTCGCTCCTCGCCGTCGCCGCGCTCGCGCTCCACGCGTGGTGGTCCGCCCCGCCGCTCCCTCCCGGCGCACCCTCGGCCTCGGTCCTCGTCACCCTCCCGACCCTGTCCCTCCTCGCCCTCGTGTCACTCGTCGCCGGCGTCGCCTCGCTCGCCTATCTGCTGGCCATGCGCCGCGCCCTCGCGACCCTCCTCACCCTCGCCGTCTTTGGCGGCCCGGTCCTGTTTGTCGCGACGGGCATCGTCGCGTTTGCCGGGTCGTTCGCGACACGAGGCGTCGCGAGCGACGGCGGGTGGACGACGGGCGTCAGGTGGTTCGCCGTCGCGTGCTTCGTCCTCGCGTTCGTGCTCGGGCGCACGGCGCTCTCAAGGCGCAAGGAGCTCAATCGGGCCATCAGCGTCGGTGAGGTGCGTCCCCAGCTTCCTCCTGTCTGCCCTCTCGTCGTGACCAGCCCTGACGACGAGCGCCCGCAACAGCTCGCGTGCGACACGGTCCTGAACCACCCACCCCTCATCCTCCTCGCCCTCACCCTGTCGCTCCTGTCAGCCGTCATCACCCTCCCTTTCGCGTCCCTCATCGCGTCGCTCCTCGCGCACGCCCCGCAGTCGCCGCACCTCGCGAGCTGGGGCTCGGCCCTCACGCTCCTCGTCTTCTTCTGGACGCTCGCCATTGGCCGGGGCGTGAGCCACGCCGTCGTCGGTGGGTGCATCGGCACGTGGTACTTTGAGCGAGAGGGCGACGAGTACCAGGGCCCGCTCGAGGTGACGAGGGCTGCTATCGGTGCGTCCCTCTCTCTCCCTCTCTCTCCCTTCCTCCCTCTCTGGAGGACGACGACTGACATACGCTCGACGCATCGCAGTGCGCGCCACCGGGCCCTCGTTCGGCACCGTCATCGCCGCGTCCTTCTTCCTCGCCATCTTCGAGACGCTCGCCACCGTCTGCCGCACCCTGCACCGCGCCCTCTCGTCGTCGCGCCTCCCGACGCTCCTCCGCCCACTCGCCGTCCTCGCCCCGCTGTTCCGCACCGCGGCGGCCTACGCCGCCTTTTTCAACTCGTACTCGCTCAGCTACGCGGGCATGACGGGCGAGCCGTTCCTGTCGGCGTCGAGGGAGACGGCGGCGCTCTTTCGGCTCAACCGGGCGCGCAACATCCGCGACAGTGCGTCGCTGCAGTTTCCCTCCTCGTCCTCTTTTCCTCTCTCGAAAGAGGCGCGAATTGACGATTGGCCCGGATCCTCGCGCACAGCCGCCCTCCTGCGCCTCACCCTCTTCATCTCGTCGAGCGGCTTCGGCCTCCTGTTCGGCCTCGCCGCCTTCCTCTTCCTCTCGTCGTCGCAGCTCTCGCCCTCGTCCGGCCGCGCCGCACCGACGCTCGCCGTCCTGAGCTACGCCATCCCGCTCTACACGACGCGCGTGTGCCACTCGGTCGTCGCCGACGCCGTCGACGCCCTGTACGTCGCGACCAACCTCGACGCCGAGAACCAGATCTCGCACTGCCCCAAGGCGGTAGAGGCTGTGCGTCCCCCTCCCCCCTCTCGCCCTCTCGTTTTCTCCAAGGTCGTCGCGACGAGGACTGACCGTCTCGCTCTCCCTCGGCGTCGCGCAGTTCGGCACCCCAGAAGCGGACAGCTTTGGCAGCCTTGCCGTATAGATGCGCCCGCTCCTCCCTGTACCCCCGTATACTTCGCGCCTCGTCGGTTCTCCTCCTCGTGTTGCCCTTCCTTTTACCCCCTCGCCTCTCTCTTACTCGCTGTCGTCGGACGTGTCTCTCTGTAACAGCAGCGGTCGTCTCTGTCTCTCCCCCTCGTCCGTGGAGAGCGACTCGTGCGAGAATGAGATGCAGGCGTGAAAGAGGGGGAGGAAAGGGGAGTGTGCGGACGACGACGGCGAGAAAGGGTGGCAACGAACATGGGACAAAGAGAGAGTGTGTGCGAGAGAGAGCTATGAGGTGTTCGAGGCAGAAACACGAAGTATTAGGTGGGTGCAGAGGAGAGACGGGTACAGGTGCGAGAGAGGGAAGGGAGAGAGACAGAGAAAGGGAAAGACGACGAGGGCGACGACAGGCTCGTCCCCTCAGAGACCGACTGCAAGGGCACGAGTGTCAGTGATCCGACGACGGGCGACGAGGAGAGAGAGGGAGAGAGAGAGAGGACGCACGCTGCTCCTTGAGCCCGATGACCCACCTCGTCCACAGCATCTGCGCGATCGGGCTGCGCTCCTCCTCGACCCGCCTCGCGCGCGCCCCTTCGCTCGGCTCGTCCTCATCAGACGAGACGAGGCCGGCGTCGCGAGCCTGGCGGCCGCGCTCGAGCGTCGAGAGGAGAACGGCGGGGCCTTGCGGGGTCGAGACGAGCGTGCCGCTCGCGGCGGCGGTCGCGGTCGGCGAGGAGGACGTGTAGGCGGCGGCGAGCGAGGGCGAGATGCGCGAAAGGTCGGAGCGGATGGCGACGTTGCTGCGCGAGGGCGAGAGAGTCAGAGACCGACCGGGAGAGAGAGAGAGAGAGAGAGGAAAAGCGCGAGAGAGACGGACGAGCCGAGGACGCACTCGTTGATGCCTCCGAGCAGACCCTCGACAAGCTTCCACGCCATGACGCCGTTGCTCCTCGCGAGGTCCTCGAAGCCCTTGCGCACCATGGCGAGCGCCTCGAGGTCGGTCGGGCTCGGCGCCTGCTCGCCCTTCTCGCCCACGATCCGGCCGGACGACAGCGCCTCGACGACGGGCACGACGACGTCGGCGACGACCCTGCGCCCGAGCTGCCCGACCTCGGCCGCCTCGGCTGCCGCGCCGCCGACCGGCGGCACGTCGAAGCTCGTCGCCGACGTGTCGGGCGTCGCCGCCGCGTCGCCGCCGGCCGCCGACGCCGAGAAGAGCGAGCTCGACGCGGTCGACGACGTGGCCGAGTGCGTGTGCTCTCGGTCGCGCGGTGAGGCAGAGCGGGCGAGGTCGACCGAGGAGCGGCGCGAGCGCGTCGAGTTGGGGCGTGAGTGCGGGCGGATCGTGTTGAGGCTGCGGAAGAGAGCGCGAGTCAGTGCGGGGCAGAAGTTCAACGAGTCGCACACAGAGGCGCAAGGTGCGCCCCTCCATGGCGACAAGAACGAGAGCGAGCAGCCGACGCACCCGGCACCGACGGCACCTGCGCCCATAACCGTCCCGCCGCCGCTCCCGTCGCTCGCGCCGCGCCCGCCGCCGTCGCCTGCCTTCTCCTCCCTCGAGCGGTGCTCATCGGGCTGGTACGGGATGTCGTTGACGGCGGCGCGAGCGGGCGAGGCCGAGGCGGCGAGGAGCGATGCCATCGAGGGTTCTTCTCCGGGCGCCGGGAGCGCGAGCGCCGCGAGCTCGGCGTCGAGAGGCTGTGGCTGCGCTTGGGAGGTAGGCAAGGGCGCGCGAGTGATGTCAGGAGTGCGCCTGGGCGGGAGAGAGAGCGAGAAAGAGAGCCGCAGCGACGCACAGCCTGCACCCTGGCGACCGTCCCTCCTCCTCCAACGTCGTCCTCGCCCGCCCCGGCGCGCACCGTGTCGAACGCCCACGCGCTCGCGACCGTGCCGCCGACCGAGTCGTCCTGCGTCGGGTCGGCCGCGCCCTTGCCCTTGCCCTTGCCCTTGGCGGCGCCGGCCTTGTCCTTGCGCGACGCGCGCCACTCGGCGTGGCGCTCGATGAGCTCGGCGAGCTGCGACGTGCGGCGAGCGTACTTGACGAAGCGGTGCTGGAGGAGCTCCTTGGCCGTCGGGCGCTGCGCGGTTGCCCATCGAGGACGAGTCAGCGGACAAGCTCCTTGAGGAGCAGGCAGGGCAGACAAAAGTGGACCGCGCCGACGCACCTCGTTCGGGTCCTTGATCAAGCACAGCGCGACAAAGTCCTTGAACGCCTCGGAGAACTTGCCCTCGAGGCTCGGTGGGCGCGCCTTTGGGATGAGGAACAGGACGCGCATCGGGTGGTACTCTGCGAGGGGCGGCTCGCCGCGCGCGAGCTCGATCGCCGTGATGCCGAGCGACCACAGGTCGGCCTTGCTGTCGTACCCGGCTTGGCGGATCACCTCGGGCGCCATCCAGTAGGGCGTGCCTGCAGGTGAGGGAGGGCGCCGGCGCCGGTGCGGTCAGCGGTGTGCTCTTGGTGGGTAGGGGAAGGGCGATGGGGGACAGGCGGACGCACCGACGAACGTGTTGCGACGGCCGAGCGTGGCGGTGAGCTGTGCGGCGACGCCAAAGTCGGCTGCAGGGGCAAGGGGCGCGAGCGTCAGGACGCGCTCGCTCGACGAGTGAAAGGGCTCGGCTCGTTCTCACCGAGCTTGACGCTCCCACTCGCCGACATGAGCACGTTGGCGGCTGCGGGCGCACGGCGAGAGGGGTCAGTGTCGTCCTGCGTGAAGAGAAAGAGGAGGACGCACCCTTGATGTCGCGGTGGATCTTGTTCTCGTTGTGCAGGTACTCGAGGCCGAGGAGCAGCTCGCGGCAGATGATGGCGATGTGCGCCTCGGAGAACGGACCGGGCTTGAGCTACGGGACGAACCAGGGCGAGGGTCAGGTCCGCGCGCCTCGGGGAAGGGGACAGACGAGGACGGGAAAGGGGGGCGCACCAGGTCGAGACAGGAGCCGCCGGCGAGGTACTCCATGACTGCGAGAGGGTGTAGAGCGTGAGCAGGTCGGTCAACTACGAGTAGCTCCACGAGCCGCACAACTCGAGAGCGCGCGCGCACGAGCACATCGAGGAAGGACGACCTGCCGACGCACCGATCCACAGCTTCCACCCGCGGAGGAAGCTGCCGTAGTAGCGCGTGACCCACTGCGAGTCGCAGTCGGCGAGGTGCGAGATCTCGAGCTGGATCTCGGCAATGTCGTCGTCCGAGTGCTCGAGGTCGATGATCTTGATGGCAACGGGGCGAGACGACGGGAGGTGGATGCTGTGCACGCGCTCGGAACATGTCAGTACGACAACGAGAAGACCTCGGGCGTCGTGCAGAGCGGGAAAGAGGGCGACGCACGCCTTGTAGACGACGCCAAAGCTCCCGACTCCGAGCTTCTCCTGCAGCTGGTACCTGTTCGTCCCGGTGGCGCAACGGTCAGGGCTGCCTCATTCGTCCTCCTGAGAGTGTGAGAGAGAGCGCGGGACGCACTCCTTGCTCGGGTCGACCTCGTCCGCTCGCGCCTGGTCCAGTGCGGCGGCCCCCACACTGCTCGCGAGCTCGCCCGCCTTCTTGAGCCCCGGCTTGTTGCCCGGTGGCTGGCGCGGTGAGGGCGGTGCCGCTGTCGGCATGGTCGGCTGGCGGTGCGCACGGGCGGGGTCGGTGACGAGGGTGGGTCGGTCGACGGACGGGGGACGAGTCGCCGCGGTTGCTGAATGAGGCGCGCGGCGACGAGGGCGTGCAGGCGTGGTCGAGGGGCGTGCAAGGCGCAGCGACAGGCTGTGGCTGCCTGTTGCTGTGCGCTCAGGCGAGCTGGAGCGGTTGGTGAGAGCGCGAGAGGACTCGGGCGAGGCGGTGCTGCGTCGCCGGCGGACCTTTGAGGGCTCGGTCGCTCAACACGTGCACGTCAACCCTCGCTCTCCTGCAAAGGGGCTGCAGCTCTCGCACGTCCCTCTCCGAACACGAGACGCGAACAAGATAAGCACATCTATGCTGCAGTGTCTGTTCGCCCCTCTCGTCGAGCGTCGTCGGTCCCTCTCCCTCGAGCCGCGCTACGAGCTCTTCCACCTGACGCCCACCTCGTCGAGCATGTCGCCGAGCTCGCCGTTTGCGAGCAGGCGTTCGAGGTCGTCGGCCCCGCCGATCGACCGCGACCCGACGATGATGTTGGGCCACGTCGCGTGGTTGGTCCGGCGGCGGAGGAGGCCATGGAGCTGCGGCATGTCGGCTGCGCGTTCGTTGAGCGAGGGTGTGGGGCGAGCGTTCGGGTTAGGGAGGGTCGCCGAAGGAGAGGACGAGAGGGAAGAGACGAGGGACGCACGGCGCTGGTCCACCTCGACGACGTGCATGGCGGGACGCAGACCGAGGCTCTCGAGGCGCGCCTTGGCCCGCTTCGAGTACCTGCATCGAGCCCCGCCGAGCATCGTCAGTCCCGAGTGATACGAGAGAGAGAGGGAGGGAGGGGGGACGCACGGGCAGGTCGTCTTGCTAAAGACGACAACGGGCACCCTCCTCACCATGCGCTCGAGCGCAACCTCGAGCGCGCTCTTGTGCCGCCCAGCGTCGCTCGCGGCGTACACGCTCGCCCAGCCCTCTGCGGCCCGCCGCCTCGCGCGCGGGTCGTCGCGCACGCGCTCGCGCAGCGGCAGCGTGTCGAAGAAGCCCTGGGCGCGCGCGTCGGCGTGCAGCTTGGCCGTGTTGGCGCGGTCGTCGTCGTCGAGGTAGAGCCAGCCGTTGGTCGCAATGTGCTCGACGAGGGCCGAGTGGCCTGGGGCCATTGCGGCGCCGGACGAGGCGGGGCGTGCGCCGGCGCCGGCGCCGTCGCCCTCGAGCGACGACGAGGCGGACGACGACTCGGTGCCGTCCTTGCGCATGTCGACGCCCGGGCCGAGCCACTCGCCGCTCCCGACGACGCCCGTGCTCCACTCGACGCTCGCGCCGCCGAGCACACCGTGCCGGTCCTGCATCGCCGCCTTGTTCTTCCTCCCGCCGCCGGACACTGCCCCTGCACCGAGGTCCTGCGCCGCCTCGCCGCGCTTCTTCTCGTCGACGCTGCGCCTGCGGCGGTAGAACGGGCCCTCGAGCTCGCCGTCGAGCCGCGGGTGGCGGTCCGAGATGTCGGCGTAGCCGGCGGGCGTGCCCGCGAGCACCTTGTCGCGCTGGAGGCCGAGCCCGACGTAGTCGCCCCAGTTGGTGACGGCGTCCGGGTGGGTGCCCCACGCGAGGGCGCCGGCGGCGTACGTCGACGGGTCGCGGCGGCGGTCGAGGAAGGAGGACAGGGACGAGAGGAGCGAGTAGAGGGAGGCGACGAGGAGGAGGGACAGGAGGACGAGGGTGCGGCGTGGGTGGCGCTGCTTGTAGGTGCGGGCGCGGAGGGCCCAGGGGTGCGAGAGGGCACGGCGGAAGGGCGAGGTGCGGCGGGTGGGCGAGTTGGGTGAGGAGGGGCGCGGCGACGAGGTCGGGAGCATGGTGCGCCGTCGGGCGACTAGCTGAGGGGCCTTCCTCAAGGACGCCTGTCGGCTAGGCGGGTGCTCAGGCTGGGGCGGCTGTGAGCGGACGGAGGAAGAGCGAGGCCAAGGTGATGAGGTTGATCGCCCGGAGGAGCCGGTGCGCTTTCGACTCGCTGCTCTGCTGCAGGGCGTGTGGACAGCTGCTCGCACTCAGTGTATCCCTCACAAGAGTGCCCCGACTGCGCCCGTCCAGCCAGCGAGGAGCGAGCACCGCCTCGTCGCTCGGCGTCCACTGGTCTGTCGCGTCGCTCGCTCGCTCCTGTTCTCCCACCCGAGCTCGCGCCGCACTGCTGCCAGGCCCGCCCGCAAGCTCTCCCTCGGCCCCAGCACACCCACGGCGCGCCCCACTCGACCGCGCACCCGTCCCACGACCCCCCTCTCCCCGGTCCTCCTCGCGCGTCGTTGAACCCGCCCCGTCGCCTCTTTGCGCACCTCCAGCACCCGCGCGCAACACGCACACGCACACGATGGACGGCGTCTGGGCTCGCCTGAGCGGCAACGAGGCGGCGCAGGCTGTTGACAACATGACGACGGGCGTGCGTCCACCTCTCTCTCCCTCTCCGTCGGCGAGGGCGACGGTGAGCGAACGGCGCGCTGACCTTGGGGCTCTCGAGGACGCGCAGGACGAGTCGGCGTTCAAGTTCCTGGACCTGACCAAGAAGCAGCGCCTGTACGGCTTTGGGATCTGGTGCGCCCCCTCTCTCTCCTCTCCTCTCTTCTCCCTTTCCGTCGCACTGACCTTGCAGCGCGCGCCTGCAGCCTCGTGACCGGCTTTGGCCTGTCGCTCCTCGGCGCCATCCTGTTTGCGCTCGGGCAGGTGACGCTCTTTGCGATCCTGTACGTCGTCGGCGCCATCCTGTCGCTCGTCGGCACGGGCTTCTTGCTCGGGTGCGTCCCACCCCTTTTCTCTCTCTCGCGCGCGGCAAAGAGTCCAGCCGGATCGATGGCTGAGACGAGACGTGCGCAGGTTCATGAAGCAGCTCAAGCTCATGTGGGACCCGGTGCGGCGGTACGCGGCAGGTGCGCCCGCCTCTCGCTCCCTCGCTCGTCGTTCTGTGCGCTCTCGAGCGTGCCGACTGACGTGCGCGTTGGATGTTGTGCCGCACAGGGATCTTCCTGCTGTGCATCGCCCTCACGTTCGTATTTGCGTTTGCGATCGAAATCGAGTGCGTCGTCGGCTCTTTCCACCCTCTCGACGAACAGCACTGACTTTCTGTGCCTCGTCTCGCCGTCCACAGCGTCCTCGTCATCGTGTTTGCCATCTGCACCTACCTCGCCTACGCCTGTGCGTCGGCCGCTTCCTCCTCGTCGTCCTCGAGCCGATCCGTCGCGAGCGTCCTGCGGCGCGGCACCTCGTCCTTGGGCCCTTTGTACTCACGCTCTCGACGCCTCGCAGGGTACTCTCTCAGCTACATCCCGTACGCGCGAGCGCTCGCCAAGAAGCTGTGGCCGTGGTGAGCGCGGCGCGCGCGCGGCGAGGGGCGGAGCGTCGTCCCCGCCGACGAGCTTTTGCGTCGAGCGCGACGCGAGCAAATGGACAGTGTGCGGTCCTTTGACGACGACGACGAGAGGGCCGAGTCGAGCGCAGCACTGCATGCGAGCGAGAGAGAGAGAGAGAGGAAAGCGGCGATTGGCCAATCGCGCGCGAGCCGAGCAGAGAGAGAGAGGCAGAGGAGGGAGATGCCACCCTCGCCTCTCTGTCGTCGCTCCCCCTCGCTTCCAGCCAGCCCAAAGCACCATGTCGGCAGTCTCCCGCAAGGCCATCAACCTCGCGCCCACGGCCCTCGTCCGCCCGACGGGCGTGCCCGTCGCGCGCGCCCTCAACCTGGGTGCTCGTGCGTCGGCCTCCTCTCACGACCACGGCCACGGCGGCGCTGCGGGCCCGCGCGCCGATGCGCCCGCTCGCTGGGCTGCGACCCACTCGGTCGGGCCTTTTGGCCTCACGGCTGCGTCGAGGGTCAACGGTGCGTCCTCACCTTCGGCGGGCGACGGAAGGCGGCGGCCGCCGCGCGAGGGCCGGGGCGCGGAGGGCGAGATCGGGCGGTGCAGCGAGGTCCGTGGCGGGTGTGGTCGACTGCTGGGCAGGTTTGGGCGAGTTTGAGCCGGCCAGGAAGCGGCTCGAGCGGACTGCGGCAGCGCCACCCCTCCCTCCCCCTCGTCGCACCACACCGCCCCGGCCTCATCGGCACACCCGCCTCGCCTCGCCCCGGTCCGCCAAGCGCCACCAGCATACCTCTTTCCCTACATGACCGGCGCACTGACTCGCTCCCCTCCTCGCCCGCCCCTCTCGTCGCAGTCTCGCCCGTGTCGTCGTACCAGTCGCGCACGCTGTCGACCTCGGCCGCCCAGCTCGACGCCGCGTCCCAGATGCCGTCCTTTTCCAAGTACACCAAGGCGACCTCGCAGGACTCGGGCCGCGCGTTCTCGTACTTTATGGTCGGCTCGCTCGGCCTCATCTCGGCCGCCGGCGCCAAGTCGACCGTGACCGACTTTCTCACCAACATGAGCGCGTCGTCCGACGTCCTCGCCCTCGCCAAGGTCGAGGTCGACCTCTCGGCCATCCCCGAGGGCAAGAACGTCATCATCAAGGTGCGTCCGAGCGCTCGTTTGCTCTTGTCGTCGGCTCGAGTTGCGCGGACCCTGACCCTCGTCCTCCCCTCTCGCGCCCACGCAGTGGCGCGGCAAGCCTGTCTTTATCCGCCACCGCACCCAGGGCGAGATTGACGAGGCCAACGCCGTCGACGTCAAGTCGCTGCGCGACCCGCAGACCGACTCGGACCGCGTCAAGAAGCCCGAGTGGCTCGTCATGCTCGGCGTCTGGTCCGTCCCGCCCCGTCCTCTTCCCACTGTGCCTGTGTACTGTCACTGATGCTCTGCGCGTGCAGCACCCACCTCGGCTGCGTCCCGATTGGCGAGGCCGGCGACTACGGCGGCTGGTTCTGCCCCTGCGTGCGTCCTTTGTTCCTCCCTCTTCCTCCGACCTCGTGGCGGTCTACTGATGCTCCTACGCACGCAGCACGGGTCCCACTACGATGTCACCGATTTTCCTTTGCCCTCTGCTCGGCGCACGGTAACTGACTCGCTCTGCTCGCCCGCTCGCAGATTTCCGGCCGCGCCCGTCGTGGTCCCGCTCCCCTCAACCTCGAGGTCCCGGAATACTCGTTCGATCAGGCGGACGAGAACAAGCTCGTCATCGGCTGAGCGCCGTCGTCGTGCCGTCGTCGTGCGGGTCGAGGAGGAGGAGGGCGGGAGCCGGGAGTGGAATCGAGTTCTGTCTTTTGCGCCGTGCGCCGCCTGCGCGAGTCCCGCGCGCTCGATCCTCTAGAGCAAGCTCGTCTGCAGCTGTGCGTGTCCGACGGGAGAGCTCGCGTTCGCTCCTCTGCGCCGCACGTCCCTCGAGCGAGTCCTCGTCGCACTCGCGGCGCTCGCTCGGACCTTGTCCTCGAGCCGTGGCGCCTCGTCGCTCATGCTGTGCGCTTTCTTCCCTCGGGCTTCGACGAGCTTCTACAGACAAAGCCTTGCACTTCAAGCTACTGCGATGACGGACACTGAGAGAGAGAGAGAGAGAGGGGAGGACGAGGGAGAGAGAGGCGGAACGAGGGACATGGCGTCGTCTTGCGCTTGTGATGACAGGCTCGCAAGAGTTGCCGGACTCAGCAGAGCAAGCGAGAGCTTGAGGTTAGAGAACAGAGCGAGAGAGAGCGACTCTGCGCCGCCGCGCGACTCGTCGTCGTCCTCGTCGGACCGCTCCTCATCTCACCGCTCACTCGCACCTTACAACATGTGCATCCGGGGCACAGGCCAGCAGCACGCATTCGGCTCGCGCGCTCGCAAGGCCACCCCACCGCTTCGCACTCGCGTGCCGTCCCCCGGCCCCGCCGTCCTCGACCTCACGCGCTCGAGTCCTGGTGCGTGGACTCCTCCCAGCCTCTGCGCCCGCGTGCGCAGCGTTCACTGACACTTGCCTGCATCCCCTCGCCCTACCTGCAGCTGCGCCCGTCTCTCCACCTCGCGGCGCACCCTCCCCTCCTCCTCTTCCCCACCTCGCTCCTCCCTCGACCGCGTCCGCACTTGGCCAGCGCACGACCGCGCCTCTGCCGCGCCCCGGGCAGCAGCCGGCGGTCCCTGTGCCCGGGCTCGCTCCACCGTGCGTCCACCTCCTGTCCATCTCGGCGTCGGCGGGCATGCAGAACGATCGCGCTCACGCCCCTTGCACCGCCTCCTCCCCTCTCTCCTCCCTCTTCTTCCCTCGTCTCGTCTCGCCTCGGCATGTCCTCGTTCTTCCCTACTCGTCGCTCGCCGTCGTGTCGCACGCTTGACCAGTCCCGACGCCGCCGACCCGGTCGCGCAAGACACCCGCTCGCACCCTGCGCCCGACCCGTCGCATGGCGCTCCTCCTCCTCCGGTCGCTAGGAGTCCGAGTCCGACTTTGGCAACGAGGTCCCTCTGCACCTCAAGTACGACCCCGTCCAACACGCCAACGTCGCCGTCAACGCGCACCTGTACATCACCGACGAGGTGTACGACTACTACCTGTGCAATGATCGACGAGGTCACCAAGGTCTCGCCGCCGATTTTCCTCGCCCAAGACGAGCTCCCGGCGCGTGAGCACTGGGCCCGCCTCCTCGACGTCGTCGACACGATCGTCCGCGACGCCCGCCACGACCTGCCGCCCTCGCCCGAGCGCGACCACAGCCTGTACACGATCAAGACCTTGATCGGCGAGATGCTTGCCAACGCCGAGGTCGGCTAATAACCTGTACGTCCCGCCCCGTCCCTCGTCGACTCGAATCAGCGAAACCGAGACCTGACCTCCCCGTCCCTCTCGCAGGTCATGGTCGCACCGCTCCTCGTCCCTCCCTCCTTCCACACCCGCTTTGTGCCCGTCACAGAGCAGCTCTCTCTCTCTCTGTCTCTCTCTCGCCCGATCTAGTCGCCGTACCGTCTGTGCCCCCCTCTCTGTAACGCCCGCCGCCGCTTTGTTCGTTCTCTCGAGACTCGGGCCTTGCGACGAGGAGAGCTGCCTGCACGCGCAATCGACTCTTGCTCTCGGTCCTCGCTTCTCCGAGAGAGTCACGAGAGCCTGGTTCGTGCCTCTCGAGCGCTCGCGGCAGCTTGGAGAGGCCCGCAGAAGCCGCGCCGACCGACCTCGCAGTTTGAGAAGGTCGACGGCGAGGTCGAGCTCGCGCTCTCGAGCTCTTTCGTCCTGCTCACTCGAAGGGAGTCCGAGAGAGGAGAGCGATATGATTGCGAGGCTATGGCCGACGTGCGAGGGTCGGGTTCAAAAGAGGTATCTACGGAAGAAGACAAAAAACAGGAGCGTGCGCCAGAGCTTCAGAGAGGCTCGGCAGCGACGCAGACGGGACAAGGGGGGGATGACAGCTTCTATGTAGACGAGGCGACGAGGCTCTAGGACGAGAGGGCGACGAGGGCAGAGGAGTCTCGCCATGCGGCTTCGAGGAGGAGGACAAACACCTCGCCCTCGGGGCTCGCCGCCGACTGTGCCTTGAACGACAGCGGGTTCTGCGGGAGCGACAAGGGGTATCAGTCCGACGTTCTCGAACAGAACACAGGTCCCACGAGAGAGAGAGAGCTTCGGACGCACGACGACGGGCGAGACCCAGCCGGTCGACGAGCTGATCTTGCGGTTGACGGCCGAGCGGATCGTCGCCGCCGAGTCGACGAGGTACGCGCTGCGCGTGCCGCCAAGCTGCGCGAGTCGGTACGCCGCGGCGGCGAGGAGGGCAGAGCCGGCCGCGTCGGAAAAGGACGAGCCCGAAGCCGAGTCGTAGTAGTTGGGGAGGAGGCCGTCCGACTGCGAGGAAACGGGTGGGTCGAGCGTGAGCTCCCTGAACGCTTCGTCAAGCCGAAAGATCGAGAGAGAGAGAGAGAGGGCGGACCTTGATGTGCGAGAACGCGCTCGTGAGGATCTCGGTCGCCCAAGACGCGAGGTCGGCCTTCTCGTTGGCGAACGTCGCGTTCCACTCGCTGTTCTGCATCGTCGCGAGGACGCGCACGATGCCGTGAGCGGCCCAGCCGTTGCCCGTGTTCCACAGGCCGGCGTCGGTGAACGAGTCGCCGCCGACGACGTGCCGCCACGAGCCGCTCGTCGACGACTGGAGGTGCGAGCGGTACAGCTTGAGCTGCGTGTAGGCCTGCTCGACCATGGAGCGGTCCGACGTCGCGACGCCGTAGTAGGCGAGGAAAGGAGGGACCTGTGAGGGGCGAGGACGAGGTCAGTCATCGGCGGGCGAGAGGGCGAGGGAGGAGGCTCGAACGCACCATGGAGCAAAAGTCGGCCCAGGCCGACGCCGCCTCGCCCGGCGGTCGGTGCGAGATGGCGCCGTCGCTGAAGCGCGGCACCGAGTTGAGGAGGTAGTTGACCTCCTGCTCGGCGTACGACTGGTACGCCGCCTGCGTCGACTCGTCGACGAACGCCGCCGCGACGAGCCAGCCGACGCCGAGCGCCGCCGGGTCCGCCGCCGCGCCGCCGTTGTCCCACGCGAGCTCCTTGGTCCAGCTCGAACGCTTGGACGCCCAGGACGCGACGATCGAGTCGACCTCGGACGGCGGCGAGGACCCGAGAGTCGAGGGAGGGTAACTCGCCGAGGCGAACACGCTCAGGTCGGGGTAGTCGAGCTCGAGGAGGGCCTCCATGTGGGTCCCGCTCGTCCAGGTGTCGGTCGCCGACTCGCTGAGCCGCTGCTTGATGAGGTCGACGAGGTTGTCCGAGAGCGCGGCGCCCGACGAGGTCGACAGCGGCGCGGCGCAGACGGTGAGCGCGCTCGCGGCGACGGCGACGGCTGCTCCTGCGAGGGCACCAGAGCAGCGCATGGTCTCTCGAGCTGGTGCGCTGGACGAGCTCGTAGCAGGTGGGAAGCGAGAGAAAGCCGTCGAGAAAGCTCCATGGGAGGAGGCGGCTGTTGAACTTGGCCGCTTCGAGCTGATCGAGGGAGCGACTGCGGCCCGGTTCCCGCATTCAGGCGCAGCGCCGAATCCGAGAGCGAGCTCCTCCTCGTCGGCGAGATAGGCGGGGCGGTGAACTCGAAGCGGAAGGCGCCCGCACGTCGGCCAGCCCTCGAGCTTCTCGTGACGGCAACGCCCGCCTCGGTGGTCTGTAACGAGCTCGGACGTGTGCTCTCCTCTGGCTCGAGCTCGAGGACGAGCTGGGGAAGCCGCGGTGTCGGACAACCCGCAGGAGCGACGCACGCTCGAGCCTTGCCTGCAGCTGGAAGCGACGGTTTGAGAAGGCCGCCGAGCGAGAGCTGGTGCTGCGAACGTGCGCCCGAACCGGCAATTTGAGATCAAAGGCGCGCGGGCGACACGCCGACAGCGGCGTCACCGCCAGCTCGCTGTCCTCGCTCGTCTCGTCGCCGTCAAGAGCTTTCGCACCTCGCGGACGGCTCGAGGAGAACGGGGAAAGGGAAAGCGCGTTTCGATTCTTGAATGTCAAAGCGGGCGAGCACATGCGAGTAGAGAGGAGAGAGGGAGGGGGGCGTTACGAAAGGGAGGGGGGAGGAGGACGACGGTGACTGCACGGACCCCTTGAACGCGCACGACGGAGAGAGCTATTGGGTACAGATCGGGGGGCAGAATACGGGTAGAGTGACACGGTGAGGACAACAGACAGGGGAAGCAGGGGAGCAAGGGAGGAGTACTGAGAGGGACGCGACGAGGAAGGGAGGGAGGACGGCGAGGCGACAAGGCGCTCACTGCTGCCGCATCCAGTTGTCCTCCTCGACCTTGGGGAGCGACGAGAACGACATCGGCGGCGACTGGCCCGCCAGCGGCGCAGGCGAGATGCTCATCGGCTGGAACGCGGCGAGGACCGACGACGGCGACGCGAGCGGGCTCACGCCGTTGCCGCCGGCGAGCTGCAGGCCCGACGACCCGCTCGAGCTGCTGCCCGACGACGCCGCCTGCTTCTGCGACTTGGCCCACCGCAGCCCGCACGCGTTGCAGAGCGTCTTGGCGCCGTTCGGGCCCGAGCGCCATCTGCGACGAGCAGGAGGACGACGAGCGAGGTCAGTGTGGGCTCCTCAACATGCGAGAGGCGAGGAGAGGGAGAGAGGGAGAGAGGGAGGGGCAGAGAGGGAGGGGCAGAGAGGGAGGGAGGAAGGGAGGAAGGGAGAGAGGGAGGGAGAGGGAGACGCACTCGGGCGAGTCGGCCCTGCCGCAGTTCTGGCACATCCTGCCCGTGTTCGAGCTCGAGGCGCGCGAGCCCGAGTCGGACGACGCCTTGCGCGACCGCTCCGACTGCATGCTGCCGCGCTTGCGCCGGAGCGCCATGAGGTAGTCCTTCTCGTCGCGCAGCTTCTTGTTCATGTTTTGCACTGCGCGCGCGAGAGAGTCAGGACCGAGTTGAGGAAAGAGGGGCCCTGAACGAGAGAGAGAGAGAGAGAGAGAGAGAGAGAGAGAGAGAGGAGGACGCACGCTGGTGGAGCTCAAACTGCCAGCTCGTCGGCCGCCTCGTCTCGAGCTCGTCAAAGACGTTGTCGCTGACCGAGCTCGGGTGCGTGAGGCTCTTAAACGTGCTCTGGAACGCCGTACCGCCGGTCGAGCTGCCCTCGCGACTGCTGCCGCTCGAGTCGTTCGAGTCGGCCTCCGAGATGGCCGGCGAGCGACCGGTCGAGACCCAGACGGGCGCCGACGAGCCAAAGACGCTCTTGGCCTTGCGCTGCTCCGAGCCGAGCTCGTTGGTCTGGGCGCTGCAGGTGAGGGGACGACGGCGTCAGTAACCCGGTCGAGCTTCGACCGTCGAGGGAGGAAGGGAAAGAGGGGGACGCACATGATGCACACGTGCAGCGGGCCGTTCTCGACGCGCTCGGCGTTCGGGTCGCTCGGCTCGCCGTAGCGCGGGTAGAACTCTGCGCGGTGCGGGGGACAGGGTCAGTCGTCGGTCTAGAGGGCGAGGACGACGAGAAGAATGAGAGAGAAGAGGACGCACTCGTGACGACGTCGATCATGCCCCGGCGCCCTCGGACCTTGTACTGTACGGTGGCGGGAGCGCCGAGCTGCGCCTGCTGGAGCGCGACCTCGACGCTGCCGTGGTTCTCGGGGATGACGTACTCGAGGAGCGACGTGCCGACGAGGTCCTGCGGCTGGGTGCCGAGGAGGACCTGGGTGCCGTACGTCGCGGCGAGGACAGTGCCGCGCGGGTTGAGCTTGAGCCAGAACTCGGTGTCGCCGAGGCCGCCGCTCTGGCGCAGCTCATTCCAGTTCATCTGGAGGACGTCGCGCGGTCGAGCGACGGCGATGACGGCCTTGCGGCCCTTGCCCGGCTCGATGTGGAGCTTGCCGATCGACTCGATCCAGACGTAGCCCGAGTGCTTGCGGCGGATGCGGTACAGGAGGCGGACGTGCGGGTTGGACGCCGACGACGCGTCCTTGAGCTGGCGCATGACGGGCACGACGTCGGACGGGTGGCACAGCGACGACAGGGTGGCGCCGACGAGCTCGCTCGCCTCGTACTCGAGGACGCGGGCGACGGCCGGCGAGCAGTACAGGAGCGAACCCTTGAGGCTCAGGACGTGGATGAAGTCGTCGGCGTGCCCGAGGAGGAGCTTGTTGAACGCGCGCTTGTCGGGCTCGAGCTCGAGGGCGCCAGCGCCGCGACCCATGACGATGTTGAGGAGCTCGTCGTCCGTCTTGGTCGACGGCTCACCGCCAGCGCCGCCCATGGCCGCACCGGGCGTCGGCTTGACCGTCTGCGGCGCGACCGTGCCCGCCGACGAGACCGACCCTGCGACGGACCCGCCGCCGTTGCGAGGGCGCTGCTGCTGCTGGACCGACTGCTGCTGCGACGGCGAGACCGACGACTGCTGCTGCGGCTGGGGCTGCTGCTGTTGCGGAACGAGCGCGAGGTCCTGCATCTGGTCCTCGGGCTGGTCGTCGGGCATGGCCCACTCGTCGAGCGCCTCCATGACGCCGCCGAGCTCGATGCTCTGCATCGAGATGGTCTTGTTCGAGTCGGCCTCGGACGACGCAATGACGCTCGGATTGCGCAGGATCGTCGTGTTGTACGCGTTGCCGACGAGCGAGTAGTTGACGACGTACGAGCCGTCGCGCATGCGGTCGAGGATGGCGTTGGGCTGGTCGACGAGGTCGACCTGGAACCCGACAAAGTAGGCGATCTCCTCCGTATCCCAGCAGATCGGGATGCTGCGGGGGGTCGATAACGAGGTGTCAGTTACGGGCGAACAAGAGGGAAAGGCGAGAGAGCGCGAGGGACGCACATGGTGACGAGGTTGATGAAGGGGCGGCCGGACTTGGTGTAGTTGATCAAGCTCGACTGGCTCTCCTTGCCCACCTGGATGTGCTGCCGCATGTGCCACTGCGCGAGAGAGAGTCGACGAGTCAGGGGACCGACTCAGAGAGAACGAGGGAAGGATAGAGAGAGGGAGAGACGCACCGCCGCGTTGCCGTCCGTGTACTTGCGCGGCGCGCCCTGGATCGTGCCGCCGCCGGGCGTCTGCAGGAAGCGGCAGTTGCGCCCGATGATCTCCTCGTTCGTGTAGCCCGTCATCTTGACGAACGTGTCGCTGACAAAGACGAGCGGCTGGTCCCACCTGCGCGCGTCGACGACGGCGAACGCGCACGACGAGTCGACAGGGCCGATCTGCAACGAGGATGGGGGGACAAGGAGAGTCAGTCGAGGTGTTCGGCGAAAGAAAGAGGAGGTCAAGGCGGACGAGGACGGACCTGGATCTGAGGATTTGGTCGCGCCGCGACTCGAGCGAGGACGCCGAGCATGTCGAACCCGCTCGACGAGTACAGGCCCGCAAAGTTGTTGCTCGACCCTTGCGGCGGCGGAGCGGGCAGGCCGAGCGCGGCCGGGTTGAACGGGCTCCCCGGCCGGGCCGCCGGCGGGAGGTTCATGGCGAGCGACGGGAGCTTGTACGCCGTGTTGGACGACTGGTTGATGCTGATGACGGACGAACCGTACGGCGCGTACACGGGCGACTCGATCTCGGCGGCGGTCGGGAGCGGGAACTGGGCGCCGCCGCCGTTGCCGTTCAAGAGGCCGTTGCCGTTGGCGGTCGTCGGGGCGGCGACCTGGCGGGTCGCGGCGGTCGAGCCGTTGGTGAGCGCCGGGGCGGACGCGTACGGGACCGAGGAAGGTGGAGGAGCGGGCGCGTAGGGGACAGCCGAGGTGGACGCGACGGCGGACGTCTGGGCCGGGACCGAGACGCCCGACTGGCCGGCAGTCGTGGCGGGAGGGTACACCGACTGCGACGACTGGCCGTTCGCGTAGAACGGCGAGGGCTGCGACGGGAACTCGGCGCGAGGGGTCGAGCCGCCGCCAAAGTCGAAGTTGAACGGCATGGGCGACCCGCCCATCATGCTGTTGCTGCGGGCACGGCGGAACCGGGTCAGTGCTCGTGCCGCCTCGGGCGCACGTCCGAGAGAAGAGGTGGACGCACCCGCTAGGCGGATCCGTGATGCCAACGCCGAGGCCAAACGGGTCCGAAGGGCCGCCACTGGCGAAGCGGGGGACGATGAACTGGCGCGAGAACGAGCTCGGGTCGAACGCCGACGGGCTCAGCCGCGCGTGCTCCATCGGGTCGAAGGTGCTGTAGCCCGTGCGCCCGCCCTGCCCTGCGCCCGACGCCGACGACGACGAGGCCAAGCCGCCTGCCCCTCCTCCGCCGCCTGCCCCACCGCCGACTGCGCGCGACGACGACGACGAGCCCTGGCCGCCGAGGCTCGTCATGCCGAGCGTGGCGCCGAGCGTCTGCTGCATCTCCTCGCTGACGGTGCGGTGCAGCGGGGTGCGCTGGACGCCGTTCGAGGTGCCCGGGGCGGGCGAGTAGCCGCCGGCGCCGTTGGACGCGTCGTGGTCGTCTGCGCCCGTCTGGAAGGACCAGTAGGCGTCTGCGCCGTTGTGGTTCATGGCGCAAAGGTCGCTCGGGGGTCGAACAGGGGCTCAGAGGGCGGCGATCTTGGCGCGGCCGCAAGTGGAGGCGGGAGGAGGGAGGTTGGTCGAGTCGGCGCGCTGGCTGGATGGGGTGGTCGAGGGTGGGCGAGGCGAGGCGTGTGTGCTGCTTCGACGCCGCGCAGTCGAGCGTGCCGGCGACTGGGAGGGGATGCGAGGGGAAACGGGGGCGGACGCGGGAGCAGGCGGAAGCCGAGGATCGAGGGGTCGAGCTTCTTCACCACTGCACGCGGGCGGTTGCTGGCGGTGTCGCCTGGTCAAGGTCTGCACGAGGACACTCTTGAGTGCACTGGATGCTGGAGCTTGAGCGAGGACGAGCACGGCGACGCGAGGTTCACACGCGCTCGTGCCTCTCCCTCGTCGTTTGCGTTGCGGGCCAGCTTTCTCTCGCAGTTTGAGCGCTCAAATTCCGGCGCCGGCGGGCCCCCGGTCAAGCTCTCGAGAGGCACGGCGAGGCGGTGACGCAGTTTCACGGTCGACTCCGGGTCGAGGCTCGAGCGAAGCTGCCGCTTCTCGCAGGAGCTCGTCGCACGTTTGTCGAGATGATCTGCAGAGCCACGCGCTGCGCGACATTCATCCACTTGTCCCAGGTTCACCGGCTAAAGAGCAAGCGAGATGAATCGCACGCCGAACGCCGCCACCGCTTCGTCGTCGTCGTTCGACCTCGCCGCCTTGTGGTCAGCGACGGCGGCGCGAGTTCGTCGACGGACTTTGAAGGTGCAGCGCGCGAGTCGGGTACCAGCTCGGGACGAGCCGGCCGCACGAACGGAAGCAGGTCAAGGTTGGGCAACCGGGTGCGAAAGCGTCGGACGGGCGAGGCGCTGCCTGGCACGAGGAAGGGCTCGAGCGCGCAACTGCGATCAAGCTTCGCACCGCGGCGGCAACGGGAGCCCGTCGTCAGAGCGGCAGCACTTGCGTTTCCGAGCCCGCGAAGGACACGGGGAGCGAGGAGCGAGGCGCGAGAAGCTTCTCGTTCTGCGAACGAGAAGCTTTGACCGACGGCCCGAGCGCTCGAGCTCACCCTTTCCGGCGGCTCGGCGCGACACGCGACACGGCCGCGTCGACGATTGGGCAGCTTTCTGCGGAGAGCGACCAGCTGCACGAGGGAACGCAAGACACGCTTGCGCACGCAGACTTGGCGACACGAGGGGCGCTTCGACAGCTGCGTACATGCGCGGCGCAAGTCGCGGGCGGGACGAGCTTTTCGCGCGGTGAGCGGCGACAGCTCGAGTCGGGCGGGCAGCTGCTGTGCGCGGATCCTTTGCTGCCGACCAGCACGACCACGCGAGCAAGCAATCGCGTCTGCGCTGGCGCCGACACGAGGCGCGGGAGTCGGCGCTCGGCGGCGACCGCCGCGGCGGTCTGCTCCACGCTCGACACTCGTGCCCGCTCGAGCTACTGCTGGGACAGCTCTCTGCACTCGAGCGACGGCCGTCGAAGCGTGTGCGTGCTCGCCAGCTCGCCCCACGACGCGCGCGGTCGTCGAGCTGCAGGGTCAACCGTCGCCCGCCGCCTCGCTCGCGCTCTCCCGCCTCGCGCTCGGCGTGACAACGCTCGCGGCGTCGGTCTGCACCGTCGTCCGCAGGCGGCCTGAGCGGGAGAGGACGCCGCGGAGCGTCCGCGTCCGCGGACGGCGCCAATCGCTCACAGCTTCCCTCGCTTCCTCGCTTCTCGCTCGAGCTGCCTGCTGTGACGCCAAGCATGGACACCTACGCGAGCCTGTCGCTCGACTCGATCAACTTCTTCAGCACCGGTGCGCCGCCGTCTCGCTCCCTCTGTCCGCCCCGAGTCTCGCTCACCCTTTGCGCCGCGTGCAGCCAACACGCGCGTGTTCCCGACTTTGTGCAACCCGCACGGCATCACCGACGTCGACGCGTACTGTGCGACCAAGACGAGCGAGGTCTGCTGCGGGCTGTGCCCAAACCAGTCCGTGAGCGGTCCAGGCCAGGTGCGCCTCCTCGTCCTCCTCCTCCACGACCTCGTCCCTTGACTAACTCTCGAGCGAGCGCAATAGTTCGTCTGGGCCATCGTCAGCTACGCCATCGCCTCGTTCGTCTACACGCTCGCGCCAGGAGAGGTGTGGGGCGTCGGGGTCATGCAGATCGTCAACGCTCAAGCGTTCCTCGGCACCGGCTTGGTTCGCGTCGCCATGGGCGCCGTCGAGGGCGGCATGACGCTGTGGCACACGCAGTTCCTCTACCCGCAAGCCCTCGGCTGTACGTCCTCGTCGTCCTCTCCGTCCTCCTGCGGAACGTGTTCTTCGTCCTCGACATTGCCTGACGACCTGTCCCTCTCCCTCACCGACGCAGTCATCTACATCATGGCGCCCGCGATCCTCGCCCCGAACTGGAGCCGCCTCGGCCTGTCGCAGAAGGACATGGAGCGGCGCGTGCGCACCAAGGCCAACGTGTCGCACGTCGCCGCACGCCGCTCGGACGTGCGCGCCGTCGAGGCGGCGCTCTACAAGAAGCATCATGACCGCTGGAGCTTGCCCATCTTTGCGTTCTGGTCCGTCGAGCCCAGTCCTCGAGCGCTCCTCGGGCCGGTCACTGACCCTTCCTCTCGTCGCACAGGGTCCTGAACATGGTGCGCTCCCCTCCCGGCCTCTTGCACGTGCCTCATTGACGAGTCGTCTCTACAGTCTGCTTGGACGGGCCTGTACGCCTGGATCTCGCTCGGCGACATCGAGTTCTCGCAGTCGAACTGCGAGGGCGAGCCAGCACTCGACGTCCTTCTCTCGCCGACAGCTGTCAGTGCGTCGCCGTCGTCTCTCTGTCCCTCTCTTTGACTCGAACTGAAACGCCTTCTACCTGCAGCCATCATTCTCGGCACGCTGGCCTGGATCCTCGTCTTTTTCGACGGCTTCCTCGTCCTGCGCAAGGAGAAGCAGGGCGGCGCCGACTTGCACGCTCGCGCCTGTCTCCCTCCCGGTCCCGAGCCGTTGCTGATGGCCCCACCGCCGCGCAGCATCATCGACCGGTTCCTCAGCAAGGGCAAGGACCGCACGATGAAGGAGCATCGGCGGCTCGAGCGTCGCATCACGATCGGGACGACACTCGCTCTCTTTGTCCTCTGGGTGCGTCCCTCTCTCTTGTCCTTGCCTGCACCTTTGCCGACGATGCCGACTCTCTACCTTGCTCGCAGCTGTTCCTGAACTGCTGGCTCTGGATCGAGGCCGAGAAGAAGTTCGCCCTGAGCGGCGCCGACTGGTTCACGTTTGGGCAGGTCGAGCAGGTGAGCACCGTCTTTCTCTCGCTGGCCGTCTCTCCCTCGCGAGGACAGGACCTGATGTGCCCCTCTCGCCGCAGATCACGGCCCTCTTTCCCGACCTTCTCGCGCTCGCCGCGGGCGTGAGCAGCTACCTCGGCACGCGAGACGACCTGCGCCTGTCGCGCACCGAGGTCGACAAGTTCGTGCAGAGGGCGTCGAGGCAGGTCGGTCCGCACGGCGAGGTCGCCGGCGACGCCCAGGAACCCAAGCGCCGGTCGAGGCTGTGCGTCTCTCTCTCTCTCTTTTGCGGCCCGGTCCCTCGAATGCCTCCTTCCTGACTCTTCGCCTCAGTGAGCGTGTGCGCAGACGAGTCGGACGAGCTGTCGATGCTGGTCGCTCGACCGACGAGCGCGACGCCCACGACGAGCGCACGTCGTCCGACGATCCGCACGACCCGCTTCACGAGCCTCGCCTGCCCGGTGCCGCCCTCCTCGACAACGCCCATCGCCGCTCCCGCCGCCGCGATTCCGGCGTCGATGACGGCAACGGCGGGCCTGCTCATCGCTCGTCGGTCGACGAGACGCTCACGGCGCTCCCGCCCATGTCGTCGCGCCCCGCCGACCCGCCTGCACGCCGTCGCGGTCTCGCCCGCGTCCTCCACCCTCGCTCGTCGCACGCTCAGACGCCGAGAGCTGAGCGTCCACGAGATGACGACGAGCACGAGGCCGTTCGTCACGCGCCGCACGAGCTTCTGCCCGAGCAGCAGCTGCCGCGCGCGAGCTTCGTCTCTCTGCGCGCGGCGTACGACCTCCCTCGATCGTCGTCGCACCCACGCGAGCACGAGCCGCAGCACGGGCGAGCGACTGCGCATGACGAGCACGCGGTGCAGGACAGCCTCGCCAAGCGACACTCGTCGCGAGGGCGGCGGGCGACGAGGAGCCGCCGGACGCTCGCCGACGTCGACGAGGACGAGGACAGGCCGCTCAGGGAAGAGTCGGACGAGCGCGAGTGGTAGCCGGAGGTGGACCAGGGAGAGGAAGGGCGAGAAGGAGGACAAGCTCGAGCTGCGCGACCTTCTCAAACTCGGTGCAACGACGACGAGCTCTCTTTCCTGTGAGACAGAGGACTCTTTACACCGCGAGACGCTACAGAGAGAGAGACAGAGAGAAATAAGAGAGTCGGCGGTACGAGGGGAGAGACAGAGAGTGCGCGGGAAGGAAGTCGGAAGGGGACGAGGAGAGAGAAGGCCCGAGTGGACGAGGTGAAGGGAGGGGCACAGGGAAAAGACGACGAGGGCGCACGAGAACCTGCTCTATGCCTCGACCTCGCGTGCTGCGCCGACGAGACGGAGCGAGCGCCCGTGGCCCTGACCCGACACGCGCACGCTCCCCTCGCCCTCGAGCGCCTTGATGACCTCGGACAGCTCGGCGTTGTCGACCGGGACGCTCGACTGCTGCTGCAGGGCCTTGGACAGGTCGGCCCAGCGCCAGGGCTTGTCGCGCGAGCCGAGCAGGGCGACGACCTCGCGGCGCAGGTCGCTCAGGACCTTGCGCTGGTGCGTCGACTGGCCGCCGAGGAGCGACAGGTCGATCAGGCCGGTGAGCGGGTCGGTCTGCGCGAGAGGAGAGATGTCAGTCAGGCGACGGGGGCGTGAGAAGGAAGAGGAAGGAGAAGGAGGGACGCACCGCCGACTCCTTGAGGGCCTCGCGGATCAGGCGGTTGGCCTCGAGCACGTCGGCGACCTCGACGACCTCGGAGTAGCGCATGCGGGCGTGCGCCTCGGACAGGCGGATCATCGACTCGAGCTGGCGGGTCGTCGCCGTGATGCGGCGGTCGTTGCTCCTCGAGTCGGCACCGGCGTTGCGCATCTCGACGTACGCCTGGACGAGCGCGTTGCTCGCGTCGGGCGTGAGCTGCGGGTGGATGTGGTTGCGCGCCCACGAGATGTAGGCCGTCAAGTCCTCGATCTTCTGCTCGAGGGGCGACGGGGCAAGGGCGGTCAGTGACGGCTCGCTCGACGGGCGCGGGAGAGGCGAGTTGACGGAGGACGCACCATGATGTCGGTGCCGGCCGTCTGCGGCTTGTCCTCGAGGTAGAGCGAGACGAGGTGGCGAGCGAGCATGCGGTCGCTCTTGTCGTCAATCTTGTCGAGGACGAGGTACAGGAGGTCGAAGCGCGAGATGAGCGTCGGCGGGAGGTCGATGTTGCGCGTGATGGGCCAGTTGAGGTTGTACTTGCTGCCGACAGGGTTGGCGGCCGCGAGGATCGAGGTGCGCGCGTTGAGCGTCGTGATGATGCCCGCTTTGGCGATCGAGACCGTCTGCTGCTCCTGCGAGCGGCGAACGGCGCAGTGCGCGACGAGACGGTCAGTACGACGCCCGAATGTCGCGCCCCAGAAGATGCCGTGGATCGTAGCGACCTGCGCCCGCCAGGGAGGAGCGACAGGGCGCCTCGCGAGCGGATCTTGGGAGGCGGCGAGAGGGGGACGCACCATGACCTCGTGCAGCACGCTCCTCGTCGAGTCGGACATCTTGTCGAACTCGTCGATGCAGCACACGCCGCCGTCGGACAGGACGAGAGCGCCACTGCGCGCGAGGAAAAGGGAAGAGGGCGACGAAAAAGGTGGTCGGTCAGTCGGCTGCGCTCAGGCCCCTCGATGCTGACGAGGAGGAAGTAGGGGACGCACCTCTCGAGGACGAGCTGCTTCGAGTCCGGGTCGCGCGTGATGTAGGCCGTCAAGCCGACGGCGGACGAGCCCTTGCCCGACGTGTAGACGCCTCGCGGCGCAATCTTGTGCACGTACTGCGAGCGGGGAGCCGGGTCGTCAGTGCCTCGATCGAGCAGATAGAAAAGGGAGAGAGAGATAGAGAGAGAGAGGGGCGCACCTGGAGGATCTGACTCTTACTCGTTCCCGGATCGCCGACGAGGAGGACGTTGATGTCGCCGCGGTACCGAGGCCCGCCGGCGCCGCCGCCCTTGGTCAGGCTCTTGTTGGTGCCGCCAAAGAGCTGGAGCAGGATGCCCTTCTTGATGTCGTCCATCTCGAAGATGCTCGGCGCGAGCGAGCGCGACAGGTAGTCGTACACGTCGGGCCGGCGCGAGATCTCGACGAGGCGCTCCTTGAGCTTGGCGTGCGCCGACGCCTCGCGCTCGTCCTCGTTGAGCGCCTCGTCGTCGAGGGCGACGTCGTGCGCCGCGTCGCCGAGGAGCGTGCCAGGGCCTTGCGCGTCCTCCTCCATGCCGACGCCGACGACGCCGCGGCGGTCGTCGCCCGACCTCGTGCTGCCGTCGATGCCCATGCGCTTCTTGTCCGTCTTCTTGACGTGGAGCACGTCGATGTACGTCTTGAACAGGCTCTTGATGACGCGCTGGCGCGGGTTGAGGCGGACGGGCACGCTGCGGAAGATGCCCGTCACGGTGACGCGGTCGCCGGGCTTGACCGTGTCGACGAGCTCGTCGTACAGGCCGAGCGAGACCGTGTGCGGCGTCTGGCCGTCCGGGACCGAGTCTGCGCGAGACAGGGAGCGGGAAAAGAGAGGTCAGTCCCGGCTCGCGAGCGACGGCACCTGCGGCGACGACCGCGGGGAACGAGAGAAAGAGAGAGAGAGGGAGCGCACCGGGCGTCTCTTGCAGGCGGACGATCTGGCGGTCGGCAAACTCGCACCGGTTGTGGACGAGCATCATCGAGCCCTGGACGTTGCACACGTCGCGCGGGCAGCGGTCGGGCTCGCTGATCTTACCGCGGTCGATCTCGACCGTGACCGTGTGCGAGCACGCGTTGCAGCGGAAGAAGGCTGTGTCGGGGGCGAGAGAAGAGAGGGTGAGCGAGGGGGTCCCGGGAGAGGAGGAAGGAGGAAGAGCGACGACGCACCGAGCTTCATGTCGGGGATGATGGGCGTCGCGCGAATGACGAGGCCACGGATGCACACGATCTTGTCGATGTCTGCGTCATGGGAAGAGAGAGAGCGTGAGTCTCGAGCAGGATCGAGAGGGAGGACGGGGAGAGAAAGAAAGAGAGAGGGCGAGGACTGACCCTGCGGGTTGAGCTCGCGCATGTTGACCTTGTTCTCGCCGGCGTACGGCCGCACCTTGAACACGGCGCCGTGCATCTCCCTCGCGCGCTGCTCGTTCTCGGTGCGCATCGGCCCATCGCCGAGGTTGTCCTCGGCGCACGCCCACTCGAGCGCCGAGTCCTTGAGCTGCTGGTCGAGGATCGGGACGAGCTCTTGCGGGTACAGGAGAAAGTTCTTGTACAGCTGGCCGTACTCGCGGTCCTCGCGCGACAGGCGCGCGGCGCCGGCGCCCTCGCCGCCGACGTCGCGCTGCGTCTCGCGCCAGCGGAACGCGAGGAGGTCGACGACGTCGAGGTTGAGGTTGGTCTGGCCCGTGTCGCGCATGCGCGCGAGGTGGTGCTGGTACAGCTTCTTGTCCGGGTGCTCCTTGGTGTAGCTGAACTCGATGTCGGCGTCGTGGGGCACTTTTGCGAGCTGGGCGCGCAGGTGGGCGACCGTGTCGAGCTCGCCGTGGAGGTGCGCCTCGGCCATCTTGGCCTCGAGCTCGTCGCGCTTGTGCTGGGCCTGGGCGAGGCGCCACGGGTCGTACGACTGGCGGTCGCCGCACGTAAAGTCCTTGAGGAACCACTCGAACGCCTTCATCGAGGCGCCGATCGTGACCGTCGTGCCCCACAGGACCGTGACGAGGCCGTCGTCGTCCTCGTCGTCCTCGTCGTCGTCGTTCGGGTCGCGGTCGTCGGCCATGCCGCCGGCCGCAGACGACGACGGGCCCGGTCCTCCTCCTCCTCCTCCTCCTCCTCCTGCGCCGCCGCGCCCGCCGGCACCGTTGCGGCGCGAGGCCGCCGACGAAGGCGGGAAGCCGAGCTCGCTGCCGGCGTTCGAAGCGGCGGGCATGCCGCGGCGGGCAGACTTGGCGGCCGACGAGCGGTTGGACGGGGTCGGGGGAGCGGCCGAGTGGATGTCGCCGCGGTGGTTGCGGCGAGGCGTCGGCGAGCCAAAGTCGGACCTGTGGCACGGGCGAGCGCGGTGTCAGGTCGTTGCTCGGCCAGGACACTCGAGGAGAAAGGAGGGGCGGGCGGGACTCACCCAGGGAAGAAGAGCGGCGAGTCGTCACGGCCCGAACGAGCTGCGCCACTTGGGCCGGCGCCGGCACTGTTGAGTGCGGCATCGGACGAGAGGCCGGCGGGCTGGAAGAGCGGGTTGCGGTTGCTCGAGCCGGGTGCGCGCGACGACGACGAGCCGGGGAAGGCGAGAGGCGACGAGCTGCGGGCTGTCGACGAACGGGGGTGGGTCAGTGCCGTGGCTGCGGCGTGACGAGAGGTGGACTAGGGGACGCACGTGCAGTGCCCGACGAGCGCAGCTGGTGGACGGCCGGGTGCTGGCCGTGGTCGGAGGACGGGTGGGCACCGGCAGAGCTCGAGGGGAAGGCGAGGGGCGAGGTGGAGCGAGGCGCTTGGCCTGCCTGCTGGCCGTCGACGTCCATGGGGTCCATCGTGCACGGCGGGTGGTTGCAGCGAGTGAGTGGTGGTCGAGGGACGGGGCGGAGGGGCGAATGCGAGATCGAGGGGCAAGAGTCGTCGCGCTCGGTCGCGTCGGCGCGCGTCCTCCTCCCTCTCAAAGTGCCTAGCCAGCTGTCATTCTCGAGGCGCTGCAGATATCCGCGAGCATGGGACGGTGAGAAGCAAGCGTCGTTGCAGCCTCGCCAAGCTGCTACAGAGAGGGTGGAAACACGGCCCACCGAGCCCGACTCAGCCCTCGTCGTCCGCACCGACAGGGCCCGACGCTCGGTCCCGTCGTCCTCTCCTGCCCGCTTACCGTACCGTCCCGCCAAGCGTCGCGAGGGCCGCCCTGACGCCCGCCGACGTCCCGTCCAGCTCGAGGCAGTCGTTGAGCGCCGCGACGCACGCCTTAAGCTTGTGCTTCTCGGCATGGCGCTCGCAGCCGACCGTCTCGCTCGGCGGGTCGAAGCGGCCGAGCGGCGCGTCGTCGTCGTCGTCGTCGTCGTCGTCGTCGTCGTCGGAGAGCACAAGTACGGGGCAGACCGGAAGAAGAGGAGGGCGGACGCAGGCTGCTCGCGAGGGGCAAGGGTCAGTGCGCTCGCGCAAGAGGGGAACGAGGGGCACGCCGCAGCGGGCGCACTCTGGCGCTTGACACGGCGCTCGTCGGCGCTTTCCGCCAACTGCCGCTTGCGGTTCGGCTGACTGTCGCGCGCGGCGACCTCGTTCATGCGCAGCTCGGCGACGTGAGCCTCGACAGGACGGCTCTGCGACGTGATCATCTGGTACACCCACCGCTCGACGTCGCGCTTGCGACCCTCGCTCGACAGGCCACCGATGTGCGCCTCGAACAGGTCGGCGACGAGCTTTTGCGAGCGCAGGTGCGAGATGCCCTCGACGGCCACGAGGTGCGGCGAGGCGTGGAGGGCGCGCTCGTCGAGACCGTAGGCGCGCGACAGGTGCGACAGGGAGCGGTTGGCGACAAAGTTACTGCGCAGGATGTTGGGGCCCGAGAGGCAAGTCAGCGACGATGTGCGGCGAGGGTCGAGGGGCAGGGAGAGGAGGGAGAGGGCCGGGGCGCACCGTGAGTAAGCCGGGGGTCGTGCCCGGAAACCGCGCGTAAAGTTCCTCGCTGATGGCCGTGTTGAGAACGGCATCGCCGAGCCACTCGAGCGGGCGATTCGACAGGACCTCGTTGCGGTGCTTGCCGGCCAAGGGCTGGACCGCGGCGAGGTGCGCCTTGGTCGTGCGGGCGCGGTCGGCAATGGCGGTCGAGCCGATGGCGGGCAGTGGAGGGAGCGCGTCGAGGTCAAAGTCGAAGGCTGGCGATGCCCACCGCCATTCGCGAGGTGGAGGGGCGCATGTTTCACGTACTAAGCTCTCATGTTTGAACAATAAAATTAATATAAATCAGCAACTTAAATAGCCTCTAAGGTTTTAAGTTTTATAAGAAAAAAAAGAATATATAAGGCTTTTAAAGCTTTTAAGGTTTCACAGCGAGGTGGGAGTGGTCAACCAACCTTCATCTCCTCCTCCTCCGCTTCCCTCCTCCCACCTCCTTCAAGGACCCTGCTGGCCGCCTGGTCCGGCGAGCGAAGCCCATGCCTCTGTGCACTGCTCAGCACCCTCGCGCCCACTCGCAGGCAGCACGCACGAGCTTGCTCGACCCTTGCGTTCCAGCTCGCTCGAACGGGGAGGCGCTGCTCGGCCGAAGGGCTCGCTCCGGGGCGGGGGCGCATAGAGTGCAGGGCTAAGCCCCGCCCAATTTCGACGCCAGCTTGCAATGCCGCCGCTCCTGCGCGCGCGCGATGGTGCCCATCGGCTCGCTCCTCCCTCCTCCCTCCTTCTCCCTCCTCTTGCCGGCCTCGTCCGCCATCGCCCAAGCATTCCTTCCAGCCGCGCAGCCTCGCACACGGTCATGCGGCCTCGCACGGCCATCTCGCTGTGCTCGCTCGCCTGTGCGGCCCTCCTCGGCGGCCTCGGCGTAGACGCGCAGTCGGCGACCGGCGGCGCGACTTTCGACGACATCGACACCATGTGCGTCCTCCCGTCCCTTCTACAGAGGATCGAGCGTGACGACTGACTCGGTCTGGTGCGCGCGCAGCTTTGGGTTCGGCGGTGAGCCCTCGCTCAACCTCCCCCACCTCGAGCCGAGGACGAGCTGACCGTTCCGCCTCGTCCACGCCTCGCAGACAGCTACAGCTGGAACGGCTACTCGCCCTTAGTCGGCGTCAACAACATTCCCGGCTATGGCCTCGTGCGTCCCGCTCTCTACCCTTGCGCTCGCCGCACGTCGAGCTCACTCTCCCTCTCGTCCAGACGACAAGCGGCGGGTACAGTGCGTCCGACTCTCTCCCTGCGCCCCCTCGAGCACACACCTGACTCTCGCGCAGACTGGCTCCAGTTCCTGTCGCAGCTTGGCAGCAACCCGATCACGCTGTACGACCTGGCGGCGTCCGGCGCGACGACGAACAACTCGGTCATCTCGGCGCCCGCAACTGACTTTGTCAACCAAGTCGGGCTGTTCCAGGAGTGGTTCGGACCCGATGGGACGTACTCGACGAGCGGGCAGGTGCGGTTCGAGGCCAACTCGACCCTGTACAGTGCGTCGACCGCTCTCTCTTTGCCTCGTCCGAGCCCTTGCCCTCGCGCCGAGACTGACTTGGCATCCCCGAGCAGCCGTGTGGATCGGGATCAACGACGTCGGAGCGCCGTACAACGAGCAGACCGACTTTCCGCAGCAGCTGTCCGAGATCTTCTGTGCGTCCCTCGCGCCCTTCTCTCTCCCTCTCCCTTTCGTGCGACATCGACCCTGACCTCGCTCTCGGCCCACGATCAACAGCGAGCTACAGTGCAGCTATCGCGAGCCTCTACGCAGGAGGAGGTGCGTCCACCTCCTGTCGAGCCTCGAGCGTCTCGCACGAGCCTCCCCCGAGTTGACCCTCCTCGCCGCCTCGCCTCGCTCCCGCAGCGCGCAACTTTCTCATCCTCGGCGTCCCGCCGACGTGGCGCACGCCGCTGATCCAGGCGTACAACGACAGCCGCATCGACGTGTACCGGGATCGACTTGGGCAGTGCGTCCCCCCCTCTCTTCCCCTCATTTTCTGCCATCACTCCCCCCCTGTGTCGCCTCACTGACCCTCGTCCCTCCTCGTGTGCAGTTACAACACCCGTCTCGCCGCCCTCTTCGACACGTTGCCCTCGTCGCACCCCGAAGCGTCGTTCCGCCTGTACGACACGGTGCCGTTCTTCGACGCGATCCTCGACACGCCGCAGCAGTACGGGTTCGCCAACACGACGGCGGCGTGCGACGCGTACGCGGCGGTGACGGGCCCGCCCGAGATCAGCTTGCCGCTGTGCGGCGTGCCGCTCGAGGAGTACGTGTGGTGGAACTCGTACCAGTGCGTCGTCCCTCCTCTTCCTCCCTCGTCCATCCTGCCTCGCGCTCGTCACGCACGAACTGACCTCGAGCGTTTCTCTCGTGACCCGCCGCAGCCCAGCTTGGCCCGTGCACGAGCTCCTCGCGAGCGTCATCGGCGGCGTGGGTCCCTCTTCTCCCCTCGCCTGTCCTCTCCTCTCCTCCCCGCTCTCTCCCCTCTTCTGCTCTTCCCTCTGCCTTCCTTTTCCCTCTCCCTGCCCCTCCCCTCTCCCTCACATCCCGTCCCTCCCCCCTCGCCGGCGCGCACTGACCCCTTTCCCCCGCCCTCTGCCCTTCCCTCTCCTCCCTCTCCTCCCTCTCCTCCCTCTCCTCCCTCTCCTCCCGCCCACCCCGACCCACGCACAGATCCTCTCTAGCCCCAACTCGAGCCCAACCACGACGCTCACCTCGGCGGGCGGCCTCCCGACTGCGGCGTCGACCGCCTTGGGCAGCACCGGCACCAGCACCAGCATCAGTGCGCCGCCGACCTCGAGTGCGGCACCGTCGTCGTCGTCGGTGCAGCAGAGCGTCGCACCCTCGGCGTCGGCGTCGGGCGCAGGCGGGAGCGGCGGCGCGCCCGCGCTGCGCCTCAGCTCGGGCTCGAGCGCCGCGCTCGCGCTCGGCGCAGCGGTGGCGGTGGCGGCACTGCTCGGTGCGCTCGCGTGAGGAGATGCTGGCAGGGCGACAGGGGGAGCGAGCGAGCGAGCGGCGGCGCTAGATAGAGCCGGCGCTGCGCGAGGAGGGAGTGAGGGAGGGAGGCGGGCCGCACTGTCCTGCACCGACTCGACTCGGCGTGCGACCGCCTGCAAGCTCTAGACACATCTCTCTCGTGCGTGTCGTGTCGCGCGTCGGACTCGAGAGCTCGAGCGGGGTACTGAGAGCGTGAGGCAGGACTTGCGCGCGGGCCCACGGACCCTGCATGGACCTCTCTCGGGTTTTTTTCTCTCTCTCTCTCTCCCGCTCGGTCGGTCGAGGCCGGATGAGAGAGATCTATGGCAATTGCGACTTCTAGCTCCTCGTCTCCCCTCCTCGCCGCCTCCCTCGCTCCTCGCCCCTCGCCCCTCGCCCCTCTCCTCTCCTCGCCCCTCTCCCCTCTCCTCTCCTCGCCCTTCTCCCCCGCTCACCTCGTGCCCCTCACCTTCTCTCGCCCTCGCCCTCACCCTCGCCCCCGCCGCCGAACTCGTCATTCTCGTACCCAGCCCTCGTGAGCACCCGTGCGAGCCCGAGCTTGCACAGGTCGGCCCAGTCGGACTCGCTCGACGCGGCCCAGTACCCGAGGTACACGAGGCCGTTGAGCGAGATGGCGAATGAGGCGTCCTCGGGGTTGGGGTCGGGGTCGGCGGCCTGGTCGTCCTTGTCGTGCTCGTCTTGCTCGTCCTCGGCGGCGGCCTTCTCGCTCGCCGCCTTCGCCTTCTTGCCGCCGCCGCCCCTCGGCACCACCACGAGCCTCTCCCTCCTCGGCACGACATGCAAGTGCCTGCTCGTGAGGAACACATTGTGGCTCTTCCTGCGCCCGCCGTCCTCGCTCGGTACGCGCACGCGCGCGCGCACGGCCGGGTCCGGGTCCGCGACGAGGTGCGACGCGATGAGGGCGTCGCGGGACGCGAGGAGGGAGAGATAGGTGCGGTGAAGGGCGGAGGGGGTGAGGGTTGAGAGGTGGGTGGAGGCTGGAGAGGAGGCCTAGGAGGGCGGGGAGGAGGAGCGGGAGGTGGAGGGGGTCTAGGGGGGGGGCAGGATGATCACGGGGGGATCGCCCCGAGCTGCAGACGGAAGGCGACAAGAGGCGCGACTCGGAAAGCGACGAAGCGCCCGCGCACCGGGCGGGGGAACTGT